TAAAGGTGTGAGCTAAAATGTGTGTTGGAGCATGCCTTTAATCCCAGCGTTTGGGAGACAGAGGCAGGTGAATCAGTCCGGGGCCAGCTTAATCTACAAAGCAAGTCCAGGACAGCCAGGCTACACAGAGAAACCCTGTCTCGGAAAAAAAGGAAAAGAGAGCCAATTCATGAAAGTTGTCCTCTGATTTCTACTTCTCCATGCACATCCACACACAGAGATGCTGACACATACAATAGAATGTAATAAGAAAAAAAAAATTAAGGTTAAAAATTGGAGGTCAGAGCCAGGCACGGTGGTACACGTCTGTAATCCCAGCACTCTGGCAGGCGGAGGCAGGCAGACCTCGTGATTTCGAGGCCAGCCTGGTCTATAAAGTGAGTCCAGGAGAGCCAAGGCTACACAGAGAAACCTTGTCTCTAAAAACAAAACAAAAAAATTGGGAGTCTGGAAATGGTGGCCTATGCTTTTAGGCCCGGCCCTTGAACACTTGGGAGGCAGAGGCAGGGAAATCTCTGAGTTTGAGGTCAGCCCGTTTTCAGTGTAGGCAAGGACAGCCAGGCCTACACAGAAAAACCGTGTCCCCAAAACCAATCAACCAACACCAACAACAAAACCTCAGCAAAAACTCCCTCTGTACCTCTGTTTCCTCATCTGTAACATAGGGTTTATGTGTCCTCATCAGTGTTAGCAGATTAAATGAACCGATACACTGCACATTGATAGAGGAGACCCAAAATTTTTAGTTCCTTTATTAGAAAGGGAGAATGAACTTTTTTTGTTGTCAAGGGTAAGAGTCAGCTCCCTGTGGAACTGACTGAGGAACATGACAAAGCTCCAACCATGCAAAGTGGGAAAAAAAAAAAAAAAGGCCTCAAGGTCAAGACTGATCTCAGCCTCCCAGTGTGTTCCCCAACCAGAAATCTGAAGAGCTTACAGTTAAGGAAAGAAAAAAAGTTTTAAAGCATGAATTTGATAGCATTGATGTTGAAGGTATATGGTAGGGGAGGAGCTTCTGAAAACATTCTTTGAATCTTAGGAACGGAAGCTAGACTAGAATAGGTTGAAAAATTAATGGGAAGAAAAGCTAAAAATACAACACTTAGGAAGCTGAGGCAGGAGGCTCAGAAATTAAAGGTAGTTCTTGGCTACATGGTTAAAGGCCAGCTTTGGCAGAAGGAGAAAAACTAAGGCCACTTGCACTACTCTGCTGCAGCTTTCCAAGGTCACAAACTTAAGGCTAAATTTACACCTTTTAGTCATCGGTTCTGCAGCCCTTGAGCTGTGAGTCACTCATCTCTAGCCCCGCCCACTCCATCCTCTTCCTCTCTCTAGTCCCTCCCACTCCATCACTCTTCCTCCAGTTATTCATCCTCAAGCCCCTTTGCAGCTTTCTCTCCATCATTAGAATTTTGAGTGTTCTTCAGAGTTCTGTCTGGCTGTCTTCTCTCAGTACTCACCAACTCTCTTGGGACTATCTCTTCCGTTCCCATAACTTCAGCTGGCACCTTTTGCTGATGAGTTTCAGATCCAAACCTCCAGCTCAGCTCTCCTTTCTGAATTTAGTATTCATACCAATCCCCTTTACTGGGCTACTCCATTTATATGAAAGTCAAAAACAAACAAACTACACAACAAAACAGAAAATAGCTTTGTGGGCCAGAAGTATAGCTCCAGGGCAGAGAGCTACCCTGGCATGTGTGAAGCTGTAGATTGGATCCTTGGCACCAAAAGAGACAAAAAGAAAACCAAATATAGGTCAATAGATTTTAGTTAATCGAAGGCTAAGGAGATAGCTCATCAAAGTGCTTGCCAGGAATTGGTGAGGACCTAGTTTGAATCCTGTCTTAGTTTGCTCCCAACCACTACCACCACCACCACCACACACACACACACACTCGGTTTTTCGGAGTAGTGTTGGCTGTCCTAGAATTCCCCTGTACCACAGGCTGGCCTCTAACTCAAATCTGCCTGCCTCTGCCTCCTGAGTGCTGGAACCCAGTTCTTAGTTTGTTTTCTGTTGCTAAGATGAACACCATGACCAAAAGCAACATAGGAAAGAAAGGGTATATTTCACTCTTCAGTTTGTAGCCTATCATAAAAGGATGCCAGGGCAGGAAGTCAAGCAGGGTAGGTCTCTTGAGGCAAAACCACGGAGGGATACTGCTTGCTTCCTGTTGGCTCGCTCCTGGTTCAAGTTCAGTTGTCTTCTTTCTTTCTCTTAAAATTTGTATTTGTTGTGTTTTGTTTTAGGTGTATGTGTGTTTTGCCAGCATGTATGTATGGATGTCCACAGGTGTGCATGCTAAGAAGAAGCATGAAGAAGTCAGAAGAGGGCATTCAATCCCCTGGAAATGGAGTTACATATGGTTGGGAGCCACCATATTGGCACTGAGAATCAACTCCTGGGCGTTTTTACAAGAGCAGCAAGTGCTCTTAACTGCTGACTTATTTCTCTAGCCCCCAATATAAATATTTTAAGGAAAGATTTTTTTTAAGATTTTATTTATTGTATGAGTCCTCAATCTGTATATAGTCCTGCACACCAGAAGAGAGCACCAGATATCATAGACGGTTGTGAGCCACCATGTGGTTGCTGGGAATTGGACTCAGGACCTCTGGAAGAGCAGACAGGGCTCTTAACCACTGAGCCATCTCTCCAGCCCAAGGAAAGAAAATTTAACAAACTCTTATTTTGTAAACAAAAAGAAGACATAAATTTTGGAGTGCACCTAATTTATGTTGCTGCTTCTGCTGTTGATTTGTTTGTTTGTTTGTTTGTTTGTTTTCCCCACTTCCGAGGATGAACCCCAGGACCTTGTGTGGGTAAGTACTCCAGAACCACTAATTGATAGCACCAGCCCACTATTTTTTTTTTTTTCAAACAGGGTTTCTCTGTATAGCCTCAGCTGTCTTGGAACTCTGTAGACCAGGCTGGCCTGGAACTCAGAGCCCCGCCTGCCTCTGCCTCCCAAATGCTGGGATCAAAGGCGCGCGCCACCACAGCCCAGCCACTACTACCTTTTCTTTTCTTCCTATTTTTTTCTTGTTGTTGTTATTGTGGGTGTAAACATGTGTTTGTTCCCCACAAAGTAGGATGTGGGACTGATTCAGACTGTCTGAAGCAGCAGACTATTTGCTTCATCTGGGCTCTGAGAGGGGCTCTTTGCCAGCTAGCTGCAGATAGTTTAATTCTGAGGACTCCAGAGAGGGAATAAAGGACATTGCCCAACGAGTGTTGAGAGAGCTCTGAGAAAGAAGAAGCCTATTGGTGCTTTTCCTCCTCTCCTCCACCTGATTCCTATTGACGCAGTTGGATGCGAAGAAGTTGGAGACATCCTGAGTCAATGAGTGGAGTTGCTCTAAGGAACCCGACCACCCTAACCAGCAAAAAGTAACCAAAGAAAACTCCTCCCATCCCTCCACTAACCTTTTTCTCCCACCTGGTATTGGTGTTGGAAGGGATTGTGGTGGAGAAGGGAAGAAGAGGCATTAAAAAGCCAACATAAAACAGTATAAAAAGTAATGCCTTCATTTGGTTTTTGAAGCCTGTTTTCTCTGTGTAGCCTTGACTGTCCTGGACTTGCTTTGTAGACTAGGCTGGCCTGGAACTCAGAGATCTGCCTGCTTCTGCCTCCTTGAGTGCTGGGATTACAAATGTGCACCACCTTGCCTGGCCACTACTATCTTTTAAAATTGCCTTGCCTTTCTTTCTTTCTTTCTTTCTTTCTTTCTTTCTTTCTTTCTTTCTTAAGACAGCTTCCATGTCTTTCCAGGTTGTGTTGATCTGGGGAACCAATAACATTCACATTAGCCTCAGAGGAAGTGCCATGCTGGATCTGAGAATTAAATTTTATATTGGGGAAACAAACAATAGTATAAGCTCAAGCAGCGTTCCAATTTGCCACCGGGGTCAACTTAAGTGTTTAGTCAGTTGCTATTCATCACTCCTGGTGTGCAGTGTGTACTTGGTGAATTACTGTATCATAATAAACAGACATTGCTTTTTCTTAAACAGTAACAAGACAAGTGCTGTGCGCCCTTGGCAATCCCGAGAAATGGCAATAAAGACTCTATACCTAAATTTATCCCTTCCTAGTTCATCTCCTCTTTGTTCAGGCCGTCCTCTCAGCCTCCCCAGGGCCTTTTCCTTAATCTCACCCCATCTGCAAAGTTCTAGCCAGTGGCCACATAAGGGATCTCTCCAAAGCACCTGAGCTCAGCAAAACTATTTTCTATTTCTCCCACTGGGTAATAGAACAGTGCCAACAGAGGCTCTGAGCCTCATTAGCTAGATTAGGCAAGGAGTACTGCACACTGCTGTTTATAAACACCCCAAAGCTCTACCCTCAGTGCCTAGGTTCGGGACCTAGATGACTAAGCGCTTCCTGTTCCCCCTCTTTCCTTACAGGACTTTTAGAATAATTACTTATAATTTATAAAATACAATGAGTAGCATTTTATAAACTATAAACAGTGTTCCTTTTCATAAAAGCCAAATTAGAAATATTTCTGCCTAAAAACGATAAGGGGTAAAAAAGTAACAACTGAAATAAATATTCTAGCTGAATGGTCCCAAGCACTGACAAAAATAAAGAATAGTGTCATCCATCTCTGCAAATAATGGGCATATTATAGTAGGATCGTTTTCAGCGCATTTCCCGTCCTGCTGGGTAAAAATTGGCTCAGATAGAAAAAGAGCTAACCAAACTTGGGGGAGTGGGGGTGGAAACCCACCAATTATTTTTAATGCCAGCTAAACAGCCTGCTCCAGAGGATAAGGCTTTTCTGGCTCTCAAACATGTCGGGTCCCTCCGCCCCGCAACTATTCCTGTGTCTGTCCTCCTTGGTGGAAGCTGCTGGGTGGGTGGTCTAAAAATAGCCAATGAATCACAGCAGATAATCCAGTGCAGCGGTTACGTAAACAGCCGGCCGGGGTGGCGGGGCCGCGGGTCGGAACGAAAAATATCTGGGTCAATGTTGTCACACTGAATAGGGTCCCCCGGAGCCGGCTTTCGGCGGCGCGGCAGGGGAGGAGGGCCTGGGCCTGCGGGCAGCGAGCAGCTGGGGGTCGGCCGGCGGGCGGGCGAGTGCACAAGGCCCTGGGTCGGGCGCGGGCGGAGGCGCGAGTGGGGCGGGCGAGCCCGGCACTCCCTCCCCATGGCCCGGAGCGGGCCGCGGAGGCGGCGGCGGCGCTGACAGGCTCAGGGCGGGGCGGCCGGGGGCCCGGGGCCCTGGGGAAGATGAGCGCCCTCCTAGAGCAGAAGGAGCAGCAGGAGAGGCTGCGGGAGGCAGCGGCCTTGGGGGACATTCGGGAGGTGCAGAAACTGGTGGAGAGCGGGGTGGATGTGAACTCCCAAAATGAGGTCAACGGCTGGTAAGTGGCGAGCGGGGGAGGCCTAGGGTTCAGGGCTGCTAGCTCGGGGAGTGGAGCAGTCAGCCGTGACCCAGGACGCAGGCTAAGACGAAGCCTGGTACCTTCAGGCCTTGCAAGTTGTGCCCTTTCGAAACTAGCCCTGACCCCTTTGCCTCGTGCAGTCAGGAGCGCATCTTTCCCAAATCATACCTTATGTGGTTTTCTGCGGCCAGGTCCCTCAGGGACACTGGAGCCCACGCCATCCCCCGCGCCCCTTGGCTAACTTGGCCCGAATGGTGATGCTAGGAGGCTTTGATTCTCAGCGACGCTGCTCTGGATTTCATCTGGCTTGAATTATTTTGCCCTGGGCGCTTCTGAAGAACACTTCGTGCAGAGATGAAAGCATAAGCAACCGATCAAATGCCAGTCTTAAAACCAGCACAATTTCTTTAGCCAAGACCAGGAGAAAAGAAACAACTGCAAAACCCCACCACTTGCATAATAATTTTGCCCCTGTTGTTTCAACACAACAGTGATCTGCTGTTGCCTACAGCTGCCAGTTGAGAGGAGACTCATTTGTTTGCCCTGTAGAGTGTTTTGTTTCCTTAGTACAATTTCCAATAGAGAATTTCACCCCCAGGCTTTAGATGTCTGCTTGCAGATTGCCTTCTTCCCAATTAAATAAGGAATCTCATTTTAAGATGTGATCAAATTCTTTAGTTTCGAGTTACCGAATGTGGTATTATTTTATGCTTTTTTTTTTTTTGGCACTTACATTTTATTTAGTCCAAGTAATGCTTAGCCTCATTTGCTAGTTTAACGTTAAAATGAGTTTGAACCCCCCACCCCACTCCCCTCTAAATCTAGTTATGCATTTTGGAACTGAAAGGGCACTGAGGAACATTTGAATCCCAGATGATGTCTTGCCATGGTTGCACAATTGTTAATATGATATCAGAGTCAGAACTGAGGTTTTCCTCACTTCCTAAAAATCTACCTTGCTCCTTTCTGTAAAGAAACTAGTCCAGATAGCTGTCTACAGCCAGGAGACAGTGGTCACTACTTTCTCCTCTTGTTTGAAGCGTTTGCAATCAAAACACTTGTAGTTGTGTTTGCCTTGCCCTGGCATGCAAAAGCTGTGAATTACTGTTTTGGCACTGGGAGGCAGTATTTTACAGAAGAGTGAGCTGGGCTTGCTGCAGGTTCTGCCTGCCTAGCAGTGTGGTCTTGCCTAAGTCGCTTTATTTTCTGGTTATTTCAGAAGTGTTGTTGTTATTTATTGAGATGAAGGACAGTAAGTAGCTACTGTGTATTACTGAACTTGCTCTATGGCACAGAGTTCTAAATACAGCACAGCTCACAATTATCGGGGAACATAAGTTATTGTTGTTCTCTCCATCTTAAAGATGAAGAAACTGAGGCCCCAGGGAAATTAAGTAAACCGTCCAATTTTCAAAATGTTCCTAAATTACTGAATTTAGGATTTAATAACTCTACATGACTGTTAGTCTTTAAGTAACTGGTAGAGCTGAAAATGAGTTCAGCATCTATCGGACCCCTCAGCACAATGCCTGCCATGTACTGATATACAGTGACGGTCAGGTGAGTCTCAAGTAACATGATGAGGCTTACTTTAATGTAATTCCAACTCCAATCAATTCAATCCAGGAAGAGTGGATTTGTAGATTTCCTTTATCCTGCCTTATGCTCTTGGCCTAGTGCTTTGAGTCCTCATCTCTGCCTCTTGTATGACCAGGCCACAATGCAGTCCTTTTTCCTTGTCTCTCCTTCACACCACGTTCAATAGTCAGTTCTGCTGCCTCCAAGTTCAGATAGGATCTGACTACCGCTCACAAGCTCTACTGCTGCACTGTCATACAAAGCCGCCACCATGTATCTTGCAAGATAGTTGCATAGCCTCCTTAGTAGTCTCTTTGCTTACACTGCAACCTTATCCCTGGCTTGGAACAGTTGGATCACTTCACTCAAAGTCCTAGTGGCTCTCATGTTACTCTGAGAAGAAGCCAGTTTTCACTCCTTGACTTGACCTTCGGCCCTCATCTCTTTGAGATTTGCTTCCTTGTTCACTTCTTTCCATTCCCCTGGTCTCCTTTTCCTGGGATAGCAGCACGGCCCCAATTCTAGACTTTTGCACTTTACCTTCCTTCATGTCTAGAAAGCTTTCCTTCCATATACCCATGGTTTGTTTACTCTGCTCTCATTCACATCTTAGCTTGATGTAAGACTTTTCCTTGGCTGTCAGTTAAAACCTGTACAACTCCCTCCCAAACCCTGCCATTCCCTAATCTCCTACTCTGCTTTATTGTCCCATATACTTAATATCCACCTAGTATACTACATAATTTGCTTATTTGTTAGCTAATTACCCCAGCCTCATTGACTGTAAAATTAGTGAAGAATGTTCACAATGCAGGTTTTTCTTTTTCCTTCCTTCCTTCCTTCCTTTTTTTAAAATATTTTTTATTTTATTTTATTTTATTTTTTTTTTGAGACAGGGTTTCTCGGTGTAGCCTTGGCTGTCCTGGACTCACTTAGTAGACCAGGCTGGCCTCGAACTCAACAGAGATCTGCCTGCCTTTGCCTCCCAAAGTGCTGGGATTACAGGCGTGTGCCACCATACCTGCTTGCATTCTTCCTTCCTTCCTTCCTTCCTTCCTTCCTTCCTTCCTTCCTTCCTTCCTTCCCTCCCTCCCTCCCTCCTTCTCTCCCTCCCTCCCTCCCTCCTAGACTGGTCTTGCTTTGTTGCCTGGGCTGGCCTTAACTCTTGTCCTCAAAGTTACCTTCTTCCTACCCTAGTCGACTGAGTAGTTTAGACTACGGGCAAACCCCACTGTACCCAGATCCTCAGGGGATATTTTGAAGATTAAATGAGTAGAGCCTTTAGAACAGTGTTCAACATGTAAAATATTATGTTTGTGTTAGCTATTGTTATTTTCTTATTATTAGGCAACATGATGGGAGACATATAAAGTTACCCTGAAAAAAACAAACAAAGCTCTTTTCAACATTAAAAGCTTGACTGTGACCGCTTGCAATTCTTGGTTGCTCAGTAACCACGGTTTCAGCAGTGATGAATGACGCCCAGTTGATGAATGATGCCCAAAGCCTCTGGTCTAAAATACTTCTCAGCCCTAATGGGATATTCTGACTGCAAATATAAAGTTTAAAGAGTTGAAGTTCAAAAATAGAGTTTCCACATCAGTTGTAATTCAAGTGTCATGTGTTCCCTTTGGCTGTAGAAATAAGTATAATGGTTTATGAAGAAGTTGAAAATACAGCCTGGCTACAATGGTTGTGAGTTATAGCTGCCCATAGGCACTTGGCTGTAGTCTGCAAATGATGGTCACTCAGGGTACAGGGTGGCTGGGACATGCCGTGTTCGCTTAACCCCAGTTACATGGTGATGCTCTAAGTAGCTGCTTTTTTCCAGAGTCTGTCTGACCCACTCACAGTGAATTATTCTTTCACTCTCCAGCTTGCCTCTACCAGCAAGTAAGAACTTTCCAAAAGCAAGCATATTTTTTTTCTCAGCCAGACCCATTCGATTTTGGGTACTCACTTATTGTAATTATTCACTTTTCAGACCTATGCCACAGATATCTCCATACAAACCCCCCCCTGAGCTTCATTTTGCTCAGAATCAAGGAAAATTTGGATCCCCTTATGCTAAGCAATGTCCATTTTTATCCTGGGTCCACTAATTAAGTAATAAGAAATAAGTACTTGGGCTGGAGATGTAGCTCAATGGTAGAGTGCTTGTCTAACATGTGAGGCCATTGGTTCAGTCTCTGGTACCACATATGCATGCATGCTCACATGTACATACATGTGTACACATGCACACATCCAAATGCACACACACACAAGTACCTGTATATGTCAAGTAGACCCTTCTGTTCAGCCTCTGCCGGGGGTGTGGCTCAGTGATCAAGCACTTACCTAGCATGTGTGAGGCCCTGGGTTGCAGCATCACAAAAGAGTTTTCAAGCGCCTTCCCTGTTTTTCCTACATGGGCAGTCCTTTTTGTCAAAGAGTACACTAAGGGCACCTCGGTGGAATGAGTGCAGGCTGTCACTTTAAAACATTAGCGGCCCCCACCCAGTCCTTCAGGCTAGAGCTCTCTAAGTCATTAATGTAAAGATAAGCAAAGCAAATCAGCTTTTCCTTGAAATGAAGCAAACTTTGCAGGTGGTTGAATTTCTCAGGTTAGTAGCCTCTCTGCTGAGCCTCTGCTCTGTCCATTATCTCATCTGGGTTTGGCTCTAAGGTCTGGAGATGCTTACCTTGGTTAAATTAGAGAGTTGGTGAGTGAGGATGTTCAAAAGAGGAAATGAATGAGGAGTAAATGAGTCCAAAATGGGAAAAAACGTATTTTCCTTCCATAGCATGCATTCTACTTTGCACCTGAGGATGCAACCAACTTCTGTTAAGATAGCATGAATACTAATTAAATTTCTATATGGTATTAAAGTAATAGTCCTTTGGACTGCACAGCACCTCTGTGTATACAATATTAAATAATTCTGCTTAAGTGAGGCAGTTATGTTAGAAAGGTCTGTTCTTGAACCACTTTGCTTGTTGGTACCCTCATTTTCAGTGACTCCAGAGTAAAAAGTATGTGTGCAGTGTTTCATTTGATCAGAGGAGGATATGTTTGTAGCCTTCTGGAGAGATAGAGAAAAGCCAGCATTTTGAAAAATGGAAATTTGGAAATTGTGTGTGTGTGTGTGTGTGTAGGTGTGCATAAGAAAAGGGAGTAAGCAGCTAAGATTTACGCAGTAGTCCCTACTGTAGTAATGACAGACACAGCCAAGGAGCTGTAGATAGGAGATGGCTATTAACCTGGCTGCATTTACTCTTTGACTGGCACTTGGTACACATAAAGTTTTCATAGATTCTAAAATAAAAGAGGTAACGCAGAAATGTGTTTTTAAAGAGAGCAAGACTTAATGGATGTTCCTGATAGGGTAGCTTCCTGGAGTGTCATTGCAGTCTGCAGCCAATAGTCTCTTGAACCTTGGAAACTGAAGCTCCTGGGATAAATTGATGTTTCCTGTGGACTAGAAATTAAAACTTTATTTATTTTGCAGTGTTAGGATTAAATCCAGGTAGGTTTTGTGTGCTCTTGGCAAGCATTCAACCACTGACTTATAGCACCAGCCCCAAGAATGAAACTTAAAAATAAAATTTAAGAATATTAAAATATGGGGCTAGAGAGATGGCTCAGCAGTTAAGAACACTGGCAGCTCTTCCAGAGGACTTGGGTTCAATTCCCAGCACCCACAGGCAGCTCACAATTGTCTGTAGCTCTAGTTTGAGGGAATCTGACACTCTCACATAGATATACATGCAGGCAAAACACCAATGCACATAGAATATTTTAAAAAAAAAGAATATTAAAATATTCTTACTGGAGATCATGGAGCTCTGTCTGTCCTAGAATGCAATATGTAGGCCAGACTGGCCTTAAAGTTCACAGGGATCTGCCTGCTTCTGCTTCCCAAATGCTGAGACTAAAGGTGTGTACCACCATGCCTAGCTATATTAATGTTTTGATCATCTGCTTTGTGAAATGAAAAACTGAGATTGCTAGCCTAGATTCTGGGCTCTGGCTGAAGGCTAACAAGCTTCTGTGCATTTACTTACTGATGCTTACAGTTTGAAATCTGAATGACCTTTTCTCCTTTTCAGTCATTTTTCTCCTTTCTTTGGGACAGGACCTGTTTACACTGGGCATGTAAACGCAACCATGGGCAGGTGGTCTCTTACCTGCTAAAGTCAGGGGCTGACAGAGAGATTCTGACAACCAAAGGAGAGATGCCGGTGCAGTTAACATCAAGGAGAGAGATCAGGAAGATAATGGGAGGTGAGTCTGGGGAGCCTTTAGGATGTGGTGTTGGTGGCCGCCTTGATGCTGATCAATAAGAGGTCTTATTTTCCTAAGTTGGTTACTATGTCAAGGTTGTGATTCCATTTTTAGGAGACCAATATTATAATTTTTTTTTTTTAATTTGTAAAATTGAACACAGTAGAAAATACGGTAGTCATAAACCTAATGAAATGTTTTCTTCTCTTCTGACCCGAAGAGGCAGTAAGTCCTGATCAAAGTGTTAGGCACATCTCAGATGACAGTAGCTTCCACCATGCTCTTTTTTTATTAAGTTTTATGCTCTGTGTTTTTCTCTTTTTAAGTGGAAGAAGCTGATGATGATGACGAGCTCCCCCAGCTGAAGAAGGAGTCAGAACTGCCCTTTGTTCCCAACTATCTGGCCAACCCAGCCTTCCCTTTTATCTATACCCCCGCAGCAGCAGAAGACTCCACCCAGTTGCAGAATGGGGGTCCCTCCACACCTCCAGCGCCACCCCCTGCAGATGGTTCTCCTCCCTTGCTTGGTCCCACAGAACCCCCTCTGCTAGGGGCCTTTCCTAGGGACCACACTTCTTTGGCACTGGTTCAGAATGGTGATATTTCTGCCCCCTCTGCCATACTCAGAACGCCAGAAAGCACAAAACCTGGTCCTGTCTGTCAGCCACCAGTGAGTCAGAACCGCTCCCTGTTCTCTGTCCCATCCAAGCCACCTGTGTCTCTGGAGCCTCCAAATGGGACATATGCAGGACCAGCGCCAGCATTCCAGCCATTTTTCTTCACCGGAGCATTTCCATTTAATATGCAAGGTAACACCTTAACAGCAAACAGTCTCCGCAGTTGGGGTGTACTTATAAAACTAGGGGGAAATCCCAAGATCTGTCTAAGGAACTCTCTTCACTTGAGATTCATAAAATGCATTCATTTACTTGAAAATATGAAAATATTTTTTCCTTTTCTATCATTCCTAAGAATAAGAATTTTCTCACATAACTATAGTACAGGTATTGAATTTAGGAAATGCAATGTTTATTTAATATTGCTCTAAACTGGCAGTCCATATTTAAATTCTGCCAGTTGTCTTAACAGTAGATATTGTACTTAGTTATTATGCCATTTTATTATTCCTTAATCTGAAATATTCTACATCTCTTTACCCTTTGTTCTCTTTCTCTTTTTGTTTTGTTTGGTTTTTTAGACAAGGTTTCTCTGTGTAGCCCTGGCTCTTCCAAAACTCACTCTGTAGACCAGGCTTGTCTCAGACTCAGAGATCTGCCTGCCTCTGCCTCCCAAGTGCTGGGATAAAAGGTGTGCAGTACCACCTTCTCTCATTTTTAAAAGAAAGATTTATTCAGGCTAGGTGTGGAGGCATGGAACATACCTCATTCAGGAGGCAGCATTCAGGAAGCAGAGGCAGGCCGATCTTTGTGAGGTTGAGGCCAGCCTGGTCTACACAGTGGAACTCTATACAGTGAGTTCCAGGACAGCCAGGGCGGTTATACAGAGAAACCCTGTCTCAAAAGCAAAACAAAAGCAGAAGAAGAAAAAAAGAAAGAAAGAAGATTTATTATGGAGTTCAGTAGTTAAGACAACCTGCCACTCTTGCAGAGGACTCGGGTACCATTCCCAATATCCACATTGTAGCTCACTGTCTGTAACTCCAGTTCCAAGAGATCCACTGCCACCTTCTGCATTATAGACACATGATTCACATACATATATCTCCATCTCTCTGCCCACCCCACCTCCCAATTACTCTTGACCTCTGTAATTTTAAAGGATTCAGAGAAGTTATTTGGTAAAATACGGCTTTCTGTCATTTCCTCTTTATTGCTTGGTATTATACTATGAAAAGGACTTTCAGAGACTAGAGAGATGGCTCACTGGTTAAGAGCACTGGCTTCTCTTCCCGAGGACTTGGGTTCAATTCTGAGCACCCATTGTAGCTCACAACCTTATGTAATTCCAGTCCAGGCAATAAAACAAAATAAAAACAAATCTCAGTAGAGAAGGACTTTTCCACAAATCGAGTCCAGAACAGCCAACGCTACACAGAGAAACCCTGTCTCAAAAACAACAACAACAACAGGACTTTTCCTTCTCATTTATAGCCATACAAACTTATGGATTTGAGGGGTTTTGTTTGCTTGTTTGTTTGGTTTGGTTTTTGTGGGTTTTTTAGGTATGGGTGTTTTGACTGCATGTATGTCTGTATATCACATATGTGTCTGCTGTCCTCAGGGACCAGAAAATGGTTTTGGATTTCCTGGAATGGGTTACAAATACTTGTTAGCCACCATGTGGATTCTGGAAATTGAATGTAGATCCTCTGGAAGAGCAGCCAGTACTCTGAGCCATCTCTCCAGCCTGGACTCATGATTCATATTATATTTTGTATGTTGTAATTTGATGCAATCATTTTTTTGATATTCAGATTATTCCTTACTTAGCCAGTGGGAACCCCTTCAAGCTAATTCTCACGTCCTGTGGACACATCCCCATTATTCTCGGAACACATCCTTATTTCTAGTGCAACAAGATGTTCCTGATTTATTCTGTCATTGTCCCCACACCAACACTGCAATCCACTATTTCTCCTAGGAGTTCTGGTTCTTTTGGGCAGAGAATTTGATGTAGAAGCCAAGATGTGGGCACTAGGTGTCCTCATTGTTATAGGTGTAACAGTTCTAGGCTTAATTACAGACTAAGAAAAGGGAAAAGAAGGGACATGAAAAGGGGACAGAGGAAGAAAATATATGTATATTATTTATATACATATATTCACATGTATATAGTTTCATGTGTATATTTCTCTTTTTGTGTGAGTGTGTTTGTTTTTTTGGCAGGGTCTTACTATGTACTTATCCCTGGTTCAAAACTCACTATACAGAACAGGCTAGTGTTGAGTTCACAGAGATCCGCCTGCGTCTGCCTGCCAAATGCTGGGATTAAAGGAGTGTGCCATCATGCTAGGCTGTCTGTATCAGCTTAAGAACATTAGACATCACAAATTCTTACAGACAGCTCTAATTCCAGTAAAATCCATAGCGTCTGCTGTACATTTACTTTTCCTTTTCACCTATAATTAACTTACTTCCAGCTGGGTGCTCTGGCAAATGCCTGTAATCCCAGCACTCAGGAGGCAGAGGCAGAAGCAGGTGGATCTCTGAGTTTGAGGCCACCCTGGTCTACAAAGCAAGCCCAAGACAGACAGGGATACACAGAGAAACCCTGTCTCAAAAAACCAAAACCAATTTCTTTTTTTTTTTTTTAAGATTTTTTAAGATTTTATTTATTATTTATACAACATTCTGCCTGTACACCAGATCTTACTATAGATGGTTGCGAACCACCATGTGGTTACTGGGAATTGAACTCAGGACCATTTGGACGAACAGCGAGTGCTCTTAACCTCTGAGCCATCTCTCCAGCCCCAAAACCAATTTCTTAATTTTGAAAATATCATGCTATTATACCTGCGATTGCCAGTGACCTATGATGCTGTGAGGAATCCCTACTTTAAGAGCAAGATGGAATTGCCAAATGGATATAAACACTTGGCTTGAGTCATCTTAGCACCCGGGCTTGGGGTATAAAGCTTTTTTTTTTTAATTAATTAATTTATTTATTGAGACAGAGATCTACCTGGGGTGAATTGTTTTGGTGTTTTGAGATAACGTCTCACTCTGCAGTCCAGGCTGTCCTGAAACAGATGGTTCTTTCTCCACCTCCTGTTGCTGGGACCATAAGCGTGTGATGCAGTCCTGCCTGGCTCCTTTACTGTCTTTATTTCAAGGAGTGTTATATTTTCTAAGTAACTTTAAATCCGTAATTGTTGAATGCTGTCAGAGTTCCTCATGTACCACATCTTGCCCCTGCCATCTTTCTGACCCTCTTCTTTCCCTACTCATGTGTAACTGGTACTCAAACCCTTCTGGAATCTTTCCCTCCTGACATCCAGTGACAGAGATTAGTGACCCTTGTGTGGCTGGGGTGGCCGTTCCAGCCCATTTTTTGTTTGGTGAACTGCAGCGGAGAAGACAGTACAGGAAACTGCACTAACAGAGCCAGGGATGGGTGTAAACAAACTGCTGACCGGCCTAGGTTTTCTTGGTGAGCGAAGCAGACCTTAAATTACACACACTGTGCTATCCCAGGCATTACCATTTCCCTCTCTTCTTCTAGAGCTGGTACTCAAGGTGAGGATTCAGAACCCATCTCTTCGAGAAAATGATTTCATTGAAATTGAACTGGATCGACAGGAACTCACCTACCAAGAACTACTCAGAGTGAGCTGCTGTGAGCTGGGTGTTAATCCAGACCAAGTGGAAAAGATCAGAAAGTTACCCAATACTCTGCTAAGAAAGGTAAGAAAGGCTGTTCAGTATGAGTGGCTGCTGTTCACATTTGGATTACGCCTTCTTCCTTGCTTATTGAGTCATAGCTGAAGGGAAAGCCAGTAGAAGAGGGCTAAGGCAAACTGAGGCCAAAGCTCAGTGGTAAAGCGTGTGCTTGGGTTCAAGTTCAAGCTCTAGCCTAAATGTAGTCCATATGCTTTCTTTCTCTTTGTTTGAGTCCACAGAGACTCTGGTGTACTTACTCATTTCTTTATTTATTTTGAGACTTGACATGTAGCTGTAGCTGGTTGGTATTTATTGTGTGTCCCAGGCCAGCATTAGATTTAAGGCAGTCCTCCTACCTCTGCCTCTTGAGTGCTGGGATTAAAGGTTTGAGCTACCACACTCTGATACTCTGGCATTTTTGAAGATAGCAGGATGTTACATGTGTCAGTTGTCCCATAGTGGCCTTAGTGCTCTATTCGTGTGTGTTCTGTGTGTGAGGAGATGAGCTCCTCTGGGCATTTGTGTGACCCGCAAGCCGGCTTCTGCTTTCTCTAAGTTCTTGAGAAAACTGAGGCCCACCTGCCTGTCCCTGTAGGGCGTTCTCATCCTGCAGCAGACACTGTTAGGGCTTTCTCCATCTTGTCCAGGTTATATGTGGGGACTGCTGACTGCTTCGCTGCCTCAGGGATTTCACTTTCCTCCTAGACTAAAGATGGACCAAGGCACTGGCTTCAACCCAAACATAGACATAAGCTGTTTCTATTAATCTGTTGCCCTGTGCTAACAAGATGGCTTAGTGGGTAAAGGCACCTGCTGCCAAGTCTGATGACCCAAGTTCTATCACAGGGCCCCACATAGTAGGAGAGAACCAGTTCTCAGAGGATGTCCTCTGACCTCCACAGATACAAGCATGTACATACAAAATAAACAAACAAATAAATGTAATAAAAGAGCTAAATGAAAAGAAATTTATTTTTTTATTTATTTGTTTGTTTGTTTTTCAAGACAGTTTCTCTCTATAATAGCCCTGGCTGCCCTGGAACAGGACAGGCTGACCAGGCTAGCCTCAAACTCGCAGAGATCCACCTATCTCTGCTTTTCAACTGCTGGGATTACAAGCATGTGCCACCACGCCTGGCTTGAAAAGAAAGTTTTAATCCATTGCCTTGTTTTGTTTTAGGACAAAGATGTTGCCCGACTCCAGGATTTCCAGGAGCTGGAGCTGGTTCTGATGATAAGTGAGAATAATTTTCTGTTCAGAAACGCTGCATCCACACTGACTGAGAGGCCTTGCTACAACCGGAGAGCTTCAAAATTGACATACTAATGCAGCAGAGACTTTATTACTGAGTATTGTGACAGTATGTGTCACCTCTGGGCCAAAGGACAAGCCATTGATCCCAAAGCCTCACATGCCCACAGGGCCCCTGGTGCCACTGCGTGTTGTACACTAACAGCCTGCCTCAGCAGGTGGGAACCCCGACCCCCAGCAGCGGTGCCACTCTTCCAAGCCTCTTGGTGCACAATAAACCTATTGCTGACTCTTGGAACAGCTCAAAAGTAGTCTTGAGAGGCAGAAGCCAAAGGTACGATAGCCAGTGTTTTCTGTGCAGAATCTAGAGAGCTGTCGAAGCAGAAACTGAGTGAGTAGACCTGTTTCTAGGCACTCCTGTTGACAGTGCACCTGAAGGACCAGGCGCACTTCTCTTGGTGTTGCATGCTCATGACGCTCCTGAAATTTCAAACTGACTAGGGAGGAAGACTGGGGAAAGAAAGCACAGGTACTGGACTAAGGTATTCTGGTGTGACTGTAGCTGTGAGGTTTCATATAGCATATTTATAAATGTTACTCAGGTTTAACGTATTTAAAGATAGTCACCTAATTGTAAATAGGCTGTTAACCAAAAGAGCTTCCCCTCCCCCAGTTTTCTTTTGTGAGCACTCATGACTGCGCTGTCTCAGGGCAGTCATCTTTGCATCTCCTCCCCTCCACAGCCACTAGAGGGCTCTCTAATGCTTTCTAAAGGAGCCACTACCTTTTTCCTCTGAGGCCGTTCTGTCATCCTTGTTTAATTGCACCGTTCAAGAAGAGCACAAACACTCTCACTTCCCACCAGAAATGAAAAGCAGTTTTTTAGCCTGAATTTGTTGCTGTTTTAAAGGTTATTGTGGGAAACTGAACTAAAGGAGTTAGCATCTTTATTTTTGTAACAAAGATAAAGGTTATTTTGGAAATTATTAGGATTTTTACATAACTCTGAACTCTGTTGCTTTTGTAAACAAATTGTTCAATCTTAGGAATCCCCCTGTCACCTTCACAGTCAGTTGTGAGCGCCTGATTAAACTCTGGAGCACAGCATATGAATCCTTTCCAATCGTCAGAGAGTCGTCCCCTCCCTCCCCCCCGACATCGGTAAAGCTGAAAAGCCTCCATTTGCTGAAACCAACAGCTTAACCTTAGGAACAGGACCTGGCCCACAGACAAGGAGAGCAGGGCTGGAGCGGCTGTTGACAGGGATCCCTGCCATCTTAGGCTTTCTCCCCATAGTGCCTATAGTTTCCAAAGAAACTTAACCTCCTGAGTATCAATTTTATTAGAACATTGCAGTTGAGTGGAAACATGCAGACATCAGTGGAAGAGAATGTCGTGCTGAGGTGACGGCCTCCACTGCCGCCTGAGTGCCGCAGTAAGGTTGAGGTGTTCTTCAAGGCCACCTTCACGGGGTCGCTGTGTGACGACTGAATCACACCCACCCCTGGCGACTTCCCCTGGTAGAGTGTTTGTATAGCAGAGTGGCAGTTCCTTGCCACCCGTTCTCCCAAGTGCTTTAATGAAGAAACCTCCCTGTGTTTCAACCAATCAGAAACTACTTTGTCTAGACGTTCTAACCTTTTTTTTTTTTTTCATAATTTGCTTTGAAAAAAAACTTAGTTTACTGAAAACTTAGTTTACTGATAAGAATAAGTGTGGTTCTATCTTGGAAGAAATAAATTCAGTATTAATTCATGTCTAAATTACTGGGGTTCAAACTCCTTCAGCTACTCCCAGTTGATTAGCGATCCTGAGAAACAGTGGACACTGCCTGGGAGGCAGGCTACAGAAGACTGCTTCACAGTTCAGAAGCAGAGTGACCAAAGGTCTCGGTGTCCTAAATGGGGGCCTATGCTTTGCTGAATTCCTGTGGTCAGTGTCTCTGGCAGTGGGATGAAACTGCACGGTTGAAATCTTAATCTATGCATTCAGAGAAATATTTTTATATGCTTTGTGTAATTTATAACAAGGGGTTTTCTTTTAAGCTTTGTTAACTGAATGCACCTCCCCTCTTCCACTGCATATTTAAAGCATGTGTTCACACTGTGTGTAAACATTCATGGAAGACTTTTCCTCGTGTGTTGTTGACTCTTCAAACATAACAGGTATTACTAAAATTAAATGTTAACTGACCAAGCCCATTTTCTGTCATTTTTGTCCTTGGAAACAGCATTGTATTCTAGTACAGAGGGTTCAAATGGCCCTAAAGACTCATGGGGCTGATACTGTGGAGAAAGACCAGCTCCCCAGGTGAGCCTTCTCCAGCCCACTGCCTCTGGCTGCGGCTCCAGCAGCACTCACACCCTGTCATCATTGGTAGCATCTGGAGATGGATTCTGTGTGGCATCTTCCCCCACCAGTTCACACCAGCCACTTGGTTTCTGTGGAGGCACTGAGGCAGCTAGATAGAGGTCATTCCCCCATTAACCACAGTTTTTGATTACCCTATTTACTTGACACAACTGGGCATCCCCTGTGGGCTCTCAGCACCTGTCACGGCCTCAGTGAGTCCAGAAGCAAACTCTCAAGACAGGAGAGGAAACAGCCTCACACCTTCAGATCCTTAGCTGAGAAGGATGCTGAGTCTCCTGTTGGCTTAGACCACCTAGTACCTCACAAAGCAGACGTCATGCCAAATTGGCCTAATAAATCAGAGAGCACAGCAGAGACCTTTTCTTAGCACCAAGGAGAGGCAGAATAATTTGGGCATTTGTGCTTTCATACTTGCTCTGTCACAAGGATGGAAGTTGTCTTCCATATACTCATAAACATCCTGGGCAGAAACAGCCTGCCCAAAACAAAAGGAAAATGTGATTATTAACCTTTAACAAATGGTCCTGCAGCACAGGCCAACCCAGGGCACACAGAAAAAGCAGATCAAAGGCGCCATCTCCTCGGAGACTGCCAAGCACTTAGGGTGGGGAAGAAAAACAGCCAAAGATGAGGGTGAGAAGGCTGAGGAGGTGACAGAAGAGCTTCTTTTTGAGCAGAGCCCTGGAACTAGGCAGACTCTGACTACAGAAAGTAAGTCTTTGTTGGCTTGTTCAAAATGGCTCCCAGGGCCAGGAAAGCAGGGGCCTGGGACACTTTCTGTTCATCCATATCACCTGAGAAGAAGGAAAGACCCGTGGCTTCTCTGGTGAACAGGCATCTAATGGAGCCTGGAGAGAGAGGTCACACTCCCTTTAGCCCTGGAGGACAGGCTTAGAAGACTGAGCAATGACATGTACCCAGAAGCAATCTCAACTGCTCATCCAGGACATTGCTCATCAGTGCAAATCCCAGGGTCTTCTTACCTTTTCCACAGCATCTGCTCAGCACAGTGGGAGATACTGTAATTTTGGCTATGAAGATGGCAGCCAAAAGTTGTAGGTCTGAAGGTTGCAGATAACTGCAGCCACACAGCAGTGTAGGAGGCCCTCTGCCTGCCCTGGTTCTTCATGAGGATTCTAACCCCCAGACTTTGCAAACATCAGAAGAAGGCAACTTTGGGTACAAACGCTGTTGATCACACAGCTTTATTTTCATCAGTGTCCTGTCAGAGTAGACTCAGACAGCACCATACAGGGCCTCCTCCATTCCTGGGACACGCTGACCTAGCAGTTCCTGGTCCAAGAGGAGAAAGTTTCATTAAAAAAAGAAAATATGAAAGTGTAGAGGTAGGAGGCGGGTCTCTTTAAAACTGCAGTATGTTAATAATGGCAGACTAGGTCCGGCAGACCCAGGCACTGCTCTGAACTTGGCTTTGAACTAGTTGTGACCTCCAACTCACTTCTTCATCCGTTAAGTATGGCTAGTCTGTGAGGCAGTTTGCAGAATTAAAAAAGAAATCTCATAAACAGCCCCACTCGTTGCCATCACATCCATTCTGCAGATGCCTGCTGTCAGTTCAGGCAAGGAAGAGCCCCTTGGCATGTATATTCTAGGCGAGTCCTGCATCCTTGGCCATTCCATAGAAGATGCCTCTGGCCGCAATGAGGTTGACTGGAGAATCAAATTCAGCTACTTTCCCTTTGTCCAAGACCAGGACCCTAGCCAAAAAAAGAGAAACTAGTCAGGTGTCCATTAGCCTAGACCGAGGCCCGGAAGCCAGCCCTGCCCCTTGGGTACTGCTTAGGCCCCGCAGTGACATGGCAGCCCACACACTTCAGTCAACCCGCTCAGCCCAACTGATAGGCCACATGTGCACAACCTGCAAGGCTGGTCATTTTCGCTATTTTGTTAGCTCTCTTAGTGCATGAAGCGGTGACTGAGATCAAGCACAAAGTCCTATTTATCTCTGCTTGTCTGGGCTCGGAAAGCCTTCCCTAATGAGCCCTTTCTCTTGCTGGGGTCGCAGGGCTTCAGCAGGCTGTGTGCAGGGAGCCATGGGCCTGAGTCCTGGGCCCTGTGTACCTCCATCTGCTTTGTGCCAGCTCACAAAGGCAAGTGGCAGGAAACCAGGCTGCAGTGTGAGGCCAATGCTGCAGTCTGGGACTTGGGCGGCTGCTGCTGCATGGATCAACTGCCTCACCCGAGGCAAGCCTGAGCCTGGAGTTAGAGCTGCCTATCAACCACACGCAGGATGCACCTGGCAGGAGACCCGCAGGCAGCTGCACCTGGGTAAGGTGGGAGGGGCGGCCCCCAAAGCCAAGAGAGAGACTTGTGAATCGGGCAGGTTGCTTTCTGATCCCCACCAGCTGGGCTCCTAGATCTGTGCGCTCAGAAGGAGCACCTGGCCACTGTCCAAACCCGGCCCAGGACGCTGTCTCATCCAAAGCAGTCTCCAGCGGTGTCTCCTGGCCATTCACGTGAAGACCAACTGAATTTGCATGGTCTTCAAGCACAGCTTCGGGGACTGGTCCTCTCTCTGGCTATGCCCTCCAGCCTCAGTACTCCCTTCCTTGGCGCTGTGCTGCGGTATTCACCCCCTCCCTTCCTCACTCCTCCTCTCTCACCTCTTTCCTATCCTTTGGGTCCCGCTGGCACTTTCTTAGCAGAGAGGGCCACCTCTCTGTGGTGTAGACTGACTTCTCTGCCTGCGCACAGGGACCCCTGCTTCCTTCCCGTGGGCTCCAATGACAGGCTCTGGAACCTGACTCTTTGATTAACTTTTGCCTGCCCTTTTAGAAGGAGTGAACTCCCAACCCCGCCTGGTGGGCCTTCCACCCCAACCCCAGCCTCCCACCCCAGGGCTGCTAGGGAACGAATCTGGAAACAGATCGCCTTGGCTCAGTCTGTCCCTCCTCCAGAGCCCAGCACTTCCAGCTCCTAGCACTCTCCTCCCAGTGGGGTCCTGAATGGGAGTGGACATGGGGTAGTGATGGAAGAGACACGGGGTAGCATCAGCCTTTCTCACTGCCCATCCTCCACTCCCATTAGATCCTGCTGGTTGCCTGAGGACATCCCCAAGAGAAAGCCTCGGCTGACCCATCTCCCTACCCAAGTAAGCCAAGAGATTCTGAAGGCCATGTTCCCTTTCTTCATGTTAGGGAGAAACATAACAAAATAGGCTTTAAGGGGACTAGGGAGCAAAACTGACAGTTCTCAGTGTTACCCTCAGTTTAAACATTATTTCCCTGATTCCCTTAGAGCAGTTCTGAGAGATAAGGAGCAGGCCCAGAAAAGCTCTGCAAGTTGCCCATAGTCACACAGCAACCAGGCTTGGTGCGCTGGCTCAGACACAATGCCTTCCCCACAAGCAGAGGCTCCCTCAGGCACTGTTAGGATCTCATGACCAAGGATGGGAGCCAGGAATCTGTCATGTCCCTCAAGAGCAGCTTCACCATACCCCGTGGCCTGTGCTTTCCCCATCACAGGTGGTAGTTGAGGTGCAGATGAAGCGATGTAAACACTCCACCACCAAGCCTGGGAGATCCCTTCCTCTTACCCACCAGATAAAGGAGCACAGAGGTGGTCCACGCAGTTGCCAGTGTCCAGGGAGCCTGGTGTGCGTAATTCCAAAAGGACCTTATGTCTTTGCATATGTCATTATAACCCTGCTCTATTCTGCTACTTAAGCATACCTTGGGAACCCTGCTCTGTGTCCCCCCATTACCATAGCCAATTCCAAGAGTCTCATGCCTCAGATACTTCCATTTGGCCCTCCCCTTTCTGACTCCCTGGTGATAACTGCAGATCCCCTCACTGGGCTTTCCATGGCCCACCTGTTGTAGTCCATGATTGTGTTGAGCCGATGGGCAATGGTCAGGACAGTGCAGTCTTCAAACTGGGTCCGGATGGTGCCCTGGATGAGGTCATCAGTCTCCAGATCAATGGCAGCGGTGGCCTCATCCAAAACCAGGACTCGGCTCTTTCGGAGCAAGGCTCGGGCAAGGCACACGAGCTGCCTCTGGCCAACACTGAGAAGGAAAGGGAGGTGTTTCCAGCTAGGTGCCCAGGCTGCTTTCCAGCATACCCTCCTTCTCCCATCTGTTTGTCTCAGCTCCTCAGCTGCCCAGGACTGGTTGTCTGCCTTTCCTGGTTCTGCCACAGCTCTCCCGGAGCAGAAACAAGGATTTGTACAATAATGAGGGGCCTGGAGGGCTAGACCCAGAGACAAACATCACTGTGAGAGCTCTGGGGTAGGTGTTATCTATCAGGTCTCCTTTTCCTGTGCTTGCTTTTGGACCACTCCGTACGTAACTACTGCCACAGTATGTTTTTACTGTATATTGTCAGTCATTCATACCTTAGTAAGAACAAATTTGGGATTTCTCTTCCCAGATATTTGCATACAAGCCACTCATGCCATCTTGCTAAACTATAATTTTAACACTCTGGCAGTCATTTCCTACCTACACAAGGAATAGAGACCATGGCTCTGTTTGGGAGACATGTTAAGGGAAGTACCTGGGGACTCTCCATCTTTGTTCACTGGGAACCAGGAGGGCTGATCCTTATCTTCAACCTCTGGCCTTGAAAGCCAGAACCAGTGAACAAAGCAAGGCTGTGTTCCCAACCACAGAGCCCACAGCAACCCCCCCACCCCTCCTCCCCCACACCCAAGGACAAATACCTCAACCCTTCCCAGAGGCGTGAGTCACAGCCAAAATAAAGACCAGCCTCCCTCCCTGGCCTCTTCCCGCAACTAATGAAGGTTCTGGCAGCAGAAGGAGCTGCCAGATAGAACTCAGGGCTGATTAATGGTGAGCCTGGCACAGGATACAGGTTATACTTAAAGTGACCACAAGCTCACTGAGGGAGGAGGAGGGACCGGTTCTGTCTCTGATCCTGGTGTGAAGGGCTACAGACGCTCCGGGGGAAGTGCTGGGGACCAGCAGACAGCTAAAAACTGTAGAGACAGGGATTGGAGGGCCCATACTGCCACCAGCCACGCCCCGTGTGGTTATGTAAGTAAAAGCCAATTCAAGCTACACTTCTACCCTTACAGGGTTTTGGGATGGGGGAGAGGAGGTGCTGCACTTGGAATTGAACCCAGACCTCACATTCACTAAGCAAGAGCTCCAGCTCCAGCCAAGGCTCGTCTTGAACTTTTAATTCTCTTGCCTCATGGACTCTCATGTAAGTTGAGATTGCAGGTGCGTGACATTAGACCCGAACCACATGTTTTCCGTTTGAGGAAGCCTCGTGATGAAGCAAGGAAAGTGAGGAGGACAAAATCCCACACTTCCCCGAGTTCCTTGCCCCGCCTCTGGCTGGCCATGGAGTTTTGGGTAAATAATTCCATTTCTATTTCGGGCCAATGGGGCAACAGTAAAGATTAAATGAGATGGTGGAGGCCAAAGTTCTTTGAATACTGCAAAAAAAAATTAAGCAACGGGGCAGATGTGACCTTTTGTTTGTTTCAAGTTTTGAAATATGAGTATGTGTTGAATAGAGAGAGGAAAAGAAGCTGGTTAGGAATGTAGGTCACGGTAGAGTGTTTCTGAGCATGTACAAGGTCCTGGGTTCGACCCCAGCACCCAAAGAAAGAGTGAGAAAAGAAGAGAGGGCAGAAAGGGGCGAGAACTTGCTGACACTTCACAGGAGTGGAACCGAGCCAGGACTGCTCCCTTCAAAGTGTAACCACTGACTGGCCACATCTGGCTCTTGCAGACTTGAATTGTAGCTACTCTGGACAGAGCTGTGTTGAAAGTGGAAAATACAGCCAGGTGTGGTATCTCACTTCAGGAGGCAGAGACAGAGGCCAGAGGGCAGAGGGCAGAGGCAGAAGTGATCTCTCAGTGAGTTCTAGTCTAGCCTGTCTACATAGCAGGGCTATGGCTACTACAAAAAAAAAAAAAAAAAAAAAAAAAAAGAACAACAATAACAAAACAAAGGAAAACAAAACACAAAAAGAAAATGGAAAATACACACAGGATTCTTCTGTGAAAAAAAAATGCAAAATATCCGTAATAACTTCCTTCTTGTTGCTGCTGTTGTTGTTGAGACGAGAAATAATTATGTAGCCCAGAGGTCTGGGAGGAGAGGAACATGCCACCTAATAGCTTTTATGTTAATGACACATTGAATGTGATTTTAGATACATTGGACTGAATAAAATATGCTATTAGGATTTATTCCAGGGCCTGTTTAGTTAGGTCAGTGGTTCTTAACCTGTGGGTTTCGACCCCTTGGGGGGATCAGGTATCAGATCTCCTGCCTATCAAGTATTTACATTATTATTTACAACAGGAGCAAAATTGCAGTTATGAAGCAGCAGCAAAAACAACTTTGTGGGGCTGGAGAGATGGCTCAGTGGTTAAGGGTTGATTCTTCTGGGGGACCCAAGGATTCCTATGAACACACATCAGGTGGCTCACGAACACCTGTCACTTCAGCTCCACGGGACCTGACACGTCTGGTCTCCAAAGGCCCTGGCCCTCACATGCACATACATACATACACACGACTAAAAGCAGAAATAATTTTGTGATTGGGGTCACTACAGCATGAGGGATTGTATTAAAGGGTCACAGCGATGGGCATGCTGAGAAGCCATGAGTTAGGTGGTTCAGTGGGTAAAGGCACGTGCTACTGAGCCTGATGATCTGAATTTGATCTCCGCAACCTACATCTCAGGAGGAAGAACCGGCTCCTGCAGGTTGTCCTACACATGAGTATCATTGAACAAATACTTAAATTTTTTAAATATTTATTCTACTGGGTATGGTGGTGTACAACTATAATTCTGGTACTCAGGAAGCTGAAGCAGAAGGATTCCCCTGAGTTCTAAGCTAGTCTGAACTTCTTCGTGAGATTGTCTCGAAAAGAGTTAAGTAAATAAGTAAATTAACTAAAACAAACAAAAAAACCTGTGAGTGTTCAATCTGCATGTACACCTGCATGCCAGAAGAGGGCAGTACAGGGTATAGATGGTTGTGAGCCACCATGTTGTTGCTGGGAATTGAACTTGGGTTCAGAGCAGACAGTGCTCTTAACCGCTGAGCCATCTATCCAGCGCAGTAAATTAACTTTTTAAAAGATGAATTTTTATTTATGTGTACATTTGTGTCTGTGTGACTATATGCCTTGCGTGCACGTGTACTGTGGAGATCAGAAGAGAGCACTGGGTCCACTGGAGCCGGAGTCTCAGGCAGTCAGGAGCCACCTGTTGTAAGTGCTGAGGACCAGACTGTGGTCCTCTGGGAGAGCAGTAAGCGTTCTTAACCACTGAGCCATTTCTCCAGCCCCAAATTAAATAATTAACTCACCTGTTTATTCTTGTCTGTTTGCCTCTCTTGTTATCATCAGCATTATTATCGTGTGGTTGTGTGTCTATGTATTCATGTTTGTATAAGCTTTGTGTGTGTGTGCGTGCAAGTGTGGAGGCGAAGTGGGGGATGGGGAGGGGCGGGCGATGACTTTGTAGAGTTCTGTGTAGGTGGTATGTCCTCTTTTACCTTTACGTGGCTTTCAAGGATTGAACTCAGGTCACTGTGTCTGTGTAGAAAGCCCTTTTCTCCACTGAGTGACTTCACTGGCCCATGCCTCTTCTTGAGAAGGGGTAATCACTGTTGGTGGTTTGAGGGGGTGAGGCTGCCATAGATTCATGTGTTTAAATGCATGGCCCAGGGAGATTGGCACTGTTAGGAGGTGTGGCCTTGTGGGAGGAAGTGTGTCACTGTGGGGACGGGCTTTGAGATCATTTATGCTCAAGCTATGCCCAGTGTGGAGGGCAGACTTCCTTCTGCTCTGTGGATTGAGATGTAGAACTCTGGGCTCCCCCAGCACCATGCCTGCCTGCACGCTGCCATGCTTCCCGCCATGATGATAATGGACTGAACCTCTAAAACTGTAATCCACTTAAACGCTTTCTTTTATAAGAGTTGCTGTGGTCATGGAGTCTCTTCACAGCAATAGAAACCATAACTAAGACAACTAACTACACTGCCCACTAATGTGGCTACCAGAAAAACATATAAAAACATATATATTTATATATATATGTGTGTGTGGCTTGCATTATATATATACTTATTTTATTTATTACTTTATTTAATGGGTATTTTGCCTGCATGTATATCTATCATGTGTGCATTGTCTACCAAAGCCAGAAGAGGAGGTTAGATTCTCTAAAATATGAGTTATGGCCAACTGTCAGCTGCCACGTGGCTGCTGGGAATTGAACCTGGATCCTCCAGAAGAGCAGCCAGTGCTCCTAACTGCTGGGTCATCTCTCCAGCCCTCATATTATCTTGTTATCAGGGAGTACAATGCAAGCTGGCATAAACTATTATTCTCCCTATTTTACAGTTAACATAAAAGGGACACAGAATGGTTAAGCAACTTCCTCCAAATCCCACAGCTAGGCCTTGAAATATGGCTTAGCAGTAAAGGGCTTGCCCAGCATTTGTGAATCTGCCACCAGAAACAAAACAAGCTCAAATGAAATACAAAAGAAAATCTAGGAATCTTGACCCTAGAGCCCAGAAGATTCCAGCAAAAGTGGGATTGTTGCATCCGAATGTCGCTGGGGTCAACTTAGAGGAGGATCAGAGCTGGTCCAAATCCCCAGGCATGCCTCCTCTCAGCTGTGCAACTTTGGCTAAGCCCTTGCCCTCTCTGAGTTTGTTTGAAGTCTTCGAGGAGGCACCCCATGCCTGCTGAGAATATACCCCACCCAAAATAACATCCCCGTGCAACTCCGGCTGAGGTGCATGCCTGTGTGGAGCTGGATTCTCTCCACTACCCACAGGGTCCCTGGGGGGTCCTACCTGAGATTATCCCCACCCTCAGAGCATTGGAAATCCAGGCCGGCGGGCTGGCTGCTCACAAAGGTGTGAAGATGGGACAGCTCCAGGGCCCTCCAGATGTCGTCCTCTGAGTAACGGCCAAAGGGGTCTAGGTTCACGCGCAGGGTCCCCGAGAACAGGATGGGCTCCTGAAGATAAAAGATCAGAGAGGAGTAAATTAGAGCCTGTAAGGAGTCCGTCTCCCAGCCGTGTGAGGAAGAGAAGCAATTCGCGAAGCAGCTCTCCGCTCGGTCCCCAGTCCTCTGGAAGGAGGACTTTACCAGGGTGATAAAAAACTGTCTGCTGGGGAGTGATAAACCTCAGCTTGGCTAAGTCCCCTGCTGAAGCCAGTGCCACTAATCTGCCTCTGAAGTGTCTACTCAGCATAAAACAAAACAAAACAAAACAAAACCACCCTAAGGAGCCAGCAAAGGATGTTCCATTGGCGCTCGCTCTGCAACCAAGAGGGGAAGACAAAACATGTCAGCTGGGAGGGGCCTGTGGTCCTTCCCATTTGCTAGCCCAGGAGCCAAGGGCACTCCTGATTGGCCAAGGTGTCTGCCCTTCCAGATCTGTGCCTGCGTGGTGGCTCTTCTCCAAGCAATGGAGGCATCTCCCCAACCAGGCCCCAAGGCCCAGTTCTTAAGTTCCTGAAGTTTCAGAGATAGGGGTGGAGTGGGGGTGGAAGGAGGACCAGGCTCAGCAGCCTCCCACCTGAGGGATGATGGTGAGCTGAGAACGCAGGTCATGGAGGCCGATGTGTGCCACGTTGAGCCCGTCAATGCGTATCTCACCCTCCGCGGCCTCCAGGATTCGGAAGAGGCAGAGAGTCATGGAAGACTTGCCAGCCCCAGTACGGCCCACGATGCCGACCTGTGGGCATGGGAAGGGCTGTCGGGGGGGTACCGCCAGGTTTCCAGCAATAGCCAGTTAGAGCACCCAGGTTCTCCCCACAAGGGCTGTGGCAATGGCCCCAGGCACAGGTACCTTCTCCCCACCCTGCACACGCAGAGTCAGGTTTTTCAGCACCAACTCAAGGCCCGGGCGGTACCGCACAGAGTAGTTCCGGAACTCCACCTCCCCGCGGGTGGGCCAACCTTCTGGAGCACGGTTGCACTCAATCACCCAGGGAGCCTAGCAGGAGACAGCTGGGTTCTCATGTTCTCATCAAGGTTACACCATGCAAGCCCCCCCCCCCCCCCACCACACACACACCACTACCCTGGGCCTCACATATGCCAGGCAAACATGCTACCACCAGGCCACACCTCCGGGCTTTTCTCTTTCATTTCATTGCCCTGAGAGCTCCTCCAAAAACTCCTACCCCTGCCACTGTATCACGTGTCTCTGGAGTTCTCTCCCTGCCTGCACTGTGTCCCCCCCTCTTCATTCACCCTTTATTACTAAGTGCCACCAATGGGACAAAGTTCTCATTCTGGGAGGCTTTCGTTCCAGCACACACAGGGACAGGTGATCTAAACATAAGCAAGTCGATACAGTAAATCAAGCGATGAGGACTCGGGCCCAGAAGAGTTTGGGGTTGCTGTTCTATGCGTTATTCAAGAAGGCTTCCTAGAAGATAATGAGAGCAGTAATCTGGAGTTGCTGAGGAGACAAGGTGAGTGGTTATCGGGAGGAAGTGCAGGACAGATGGAGGGATGGGGTTTGCTGTTTGTGTTCTGCAGGACAGGGACAGGGACTCTGAGTTACCTCCCAAGTGCTGGGATTGTAGGCGAGAGCCGTCACGCCGGGTGTGTTTGGTGTTAGAGCCAGAACCCAGGACTCTGTGTGCATCCTAGTCACACGCTAGCTGATCATGCTGGCCTTGACCGCACAGAGGTCCACCTGCCTCTGCCTCCCTAGTGCTGGGATGAAAGGGCATGTGCCACCACGCCCTGTTCCCAGTGGATTTTTAAAGGGTCTCACTGGCTAGTGCAAAGAGAATGGGCTGGCTAGAGGAAAGATAATGGGAACTTTAAGGCAGAACCAGCTATGTCACTTGAGAGTCCCATTGTAAAAAAATAAAATAAAATAAATAAGTCAGGGCCCGTTGTTCAAAGCTTATTAAGAATGCCAAGTGACAATAGCAGAATGCTGAACCAGCATGAAGCCCTGCTAAGCGTGGAGCCCTTCCAAGAATGGAAACCTGTGTGACCTCAGGCTGCACACCCATGAAGCCAACCTTGCTTCTGGGAAGGGAAGCCAGAGAGTCAACAATGGAGGCAGCAGAGGGAGCTGAACACAGTGGCACACACGAGGAATGACAACCTGATGGAGCTAGAAGTAGGATTTTGAGTTTGAGCTAAATAGCAAGACTATCTCAAATATCCAATGGATATATGAGGTCCTGATTCCAGCCCCTGTTCCAGGGAAGAGAAGAAAAAGGAAGATGAGGAGAGGAAGGGGGAAGGGAGAAGAAGGAACAGGGAGGGAGAGAAAGGGGGAGGGAATATAGGGGTTGGGGGAGATTAAGGGGGTGCGGCTGGAAGCAGCAGAACCAGCAACAGCAGCTTATACATATAGCATCCTGGAGACATGCCAGAGGCAGAAACAGACGTGAGTGCTGAGAGCAGCATCATTTGGGATAAAGCAACTGTGGATGCAGAGAGAGACATAGAGACGTGGATATCTCGGGAACCGGGTGTATGCTGAGGGAAGGTAGCATGGAAGCTAGGTTGTTTTGGGACAGGGAACAAGTAAGTGGGTGGTAGTTCAGTGAAGGTCCACCAACAGACCCAAGCCCTGGGTCCTGCGGAAGAGTGGGTGGTTTCATCTGGATGAAGCTGATGTTGAGAATCAGACGAGAACAATTCAATTGATGTTTGAAAACAGACTGGAGCTGTTTTCCTGGAAAGCAGGCTAAGGCAGGCAAGGTCCAGGATAAGGAGGAAGTAGGACGTGTGTAGACCACAGCTAAAAATGGACTTCATGACAATGGAGAACTGAGAAATGAGGCAATGTGATGCAGGGGAAGGGGGCGGGACTGTTACTGTCTGGAATGGAAGATGAACATAGATGAGAATCATCCAACAGAGGGAGCGAGACAGAAGGTGTGACTGAGGAAGCCATACCCTCCAGCAGCCATATGATCCGATGGAATCGGAGGGGCCGGACTTTGAATAGAGAAGGGAAGACATCAGCTCAAAGAGAAAAGAAAGAGGCCGGAGACACCCAGGCAGGACTAAAGAGCTGAAGGAGAATAGAGTTCATATCTTTAACCTATTTCCTCATGGAAGAGCCAGGCAAGGTGGAGGGCTGAGCACAGAGAAGAGACTTAGCTTGAGGCCAGAGAACGCTCCCAAGGGGCCTTTTTGAAAGCAAGCGGGAGCGCATACTTCTTGGGAAGTGAAGCAGGGACACCAGCGGCCAAGGGCGGTTATGAATTGGAAGGAGCATTAGCGATTTTGTTCTCCAGCTACACATGAGCTATTCTGTGCAGGTATCATGGACACAGGTAGGCTCAGATAGGGTGGGGTTTTTGTAAGATAGGATAGGGATGGGTTGAGAGCATCGCCTGGTGGAGCATAGGCAGAGTCTAGGCTACATAGAGAAGGTGAAAAAGACAAGAGCTGATGGCTGGAGGAGCAAAGGCAGATCAGAGCATGGATATCACAGAGGCGGAGTACTGTGAGCCAGGAGCACACAGTCGGGGGTTGAAAAGAGTCTGCTTGACACTAAGAGCCTGCAGACGGCACAGCTTCTGGGCATGAAGAGCTTTGAAATGACCTCTTCGGAGAAAAACCTGTACCCACCTAGGAGAGAACAATTCCTTTCCCCCAAAATGGAGCACACCAACTCTGTTCCTGTGGCCGGCCTCTTTGGCTAGAATGCTCATCTTTTCCCTGCCCCGCCCCTACTTCATCTCATCTGTCCAAAGTTACCCATCCTCTGACTCTCATTTACTCTAGAATCACCCCAACAAAACCACCTTCCCTACCTGCCCTGTGTGTAGCCCCAGAGCCTTGCCATCCATATGCCTCGTGCCTCCCACTGGCTCAGAATTTCTTGCTCAGCTTTGAGCCCTCTACACCTGCATGATACTCTGAGAGTTAGATGGATGGATGGATGGACTTAAACAGCTAGCCTTGAAACACTGTGATGACAGGTCAGCAAGCATCCTTCCTCAGGGAATCCAGGTACCCTCGGCTGCAGGGCTCATCTTGGAACTTACCTCAGTCTCAGTCTTGGAGTACTCCTTGACTCTCTCCACGGCTATGATATTCGACTCCAAGTCAGATATCATCCGTATCATCCAATTCAAAGCCAAAGTCACCTGAACAAAGGAACTGGGTTATGGGAGGAGCTCAGCAGTGATTTTTCTTCCTTCCTTCCTTCCTTCCTTCCTTCCTTCCTTCCTTCCTTCCTTCCTTCCTTCCTTCCTTTTTGTTTTTTCTCGTGGCAGGGTTTCACTGTGTAGAGCAGGCTGGCCTTGAACTCGGAGATCTACCTGCCTCTGTCTCTAGAGCGCTGGGACTAAAGGTGTGCACCGACTCATCATTTCTTTATTTCTTTATGCCTTTATTTCTTGATCAGAGGAATCCCATCCCATCTAAGTGTGTGCAGACTATGTTTTTAATCACCACTGTGCCTCAGGCTGTGACAATGCAGACTTTGTGAAGGACAGTCTCACTCCATGCTTCTCAAAGCTTAATATGTATTACACTTCTCAGAGCATCCTGTCAAAATGCAGTGGGTGAGTCAGTAGCTCCAACACTCTCCATTCCTAACATGCTCTCCCAGAATATGTCAGTGTGGCTAGTCCCAGAAGCCTTGACAGAAATGCAGAATCCACACTCGGGCTCAGAACTGAACCTTGTGAATGAGAATGAACATTTTAACAAGATCTCCAAATGAGTCACATGCACACTAAGGTTTGAGCAGACAGGCCTGTCGGCATCACTTTTTGTTTACCAATGCATTCAGATCTGAGCCACCTGAGGCCTCCACAATGTGATTTGCTTTAGAAAAATCCCATTTGTAGGTTGTATAACTCTTTCCACTCCCAGACTCCAGTCACCTGATCTCCTTACAGTCAGTCAGCCCTTATTCCTCCACATCCACGGGGCATTGGTTCTGAGAACCCGGAACATACCTATATCCCCAGATGTTCAAGCCTTTCCCATAAAATTGCTTACTATTCACATGAAACCCACTCACATCCTCCTGTATGCTGTGGATGGTCTCTTGCTTACTTAGGGTACCTGACTCAATGCCTACATGTCACATGTCACTTCAATTCCATGTGTTCAGAGACACCGTGAAGTCATCTTGCTGGGTTTTGTTTTTTGCTTTTTTACTTCCGTAGAAGCTTCTAGAATTTTTTCAGATTTGTTTTTTTTTTTTTTTTTTTTGGGGGGGGGGTTATTTTGTTTAGCTTTGAGAAAGGGTCTCACTATGTAGGCCAGCCTGGCACTGAATTCACAATCATCCTCCTGCCTCAGTTTCCTCCCAAGTGCTAGGAAGCCAGGCACACACCATCGCTCATAGCCCCTTTCAAGCGCTTTTCTATCTGCAGGTGGCCGAGTCTTCAGTGAAGAAGCCAAGGACACACAGAACTGGCTGTAGCTCTCCTGAAGGCATGCCCCGAATCACATAGTCTGGCCCTGTTTGTCCTGTGTTCAGACCTCAGTCAGGTTGACCTACATCTTCCCAGACATGGCAGTTCTGTTTGGACCATTCTGTTCTGTTTGGATCATTTCTCTAGCAGCTCAGGAGGATGAAGATTCCACCAACCTCTTGGCTCTTTTCTCCCTCCCTCCCTCCCTCCCTCCCTCCCTCCCTCCCTCCCTCCCTTCTTTCCTGGGTTTGAACCTAGGGCCTTGCACTTGCTAGGCAAGTGTTCTACCAATGAACTATGTCTCCATGTCTCTGTTTTGCACTTTCTTCTTCCTGCCTGGAAGACCTCCCCAGCCTGTGTCACAGTCCCTTGTTGGCAGTGTCTCCAGCTGAGAGAACCCAGCTGGGGCTGATCTGCTTGTGGAGCACAGGAGGTTACTCAGCAGATGCTTGTGAGCCCCCGGCGTCCTCTGTCCTCCATCCCCCCCACCCCCACCCTACCCCCTAACCCCACCTTACCCCCACCTCCCCACCCCCTCACCCCCACCTTACCCCCACACCCCACCCTACCTACCCCCACCCCCGTGGTGGCCCTGCCTGCAGTCCCAGACCCCACTTCACCTGTAGGGCATAGGACACAGAAAGTCCCACGAGGCCTGGATTCAAGCTGTTTTTCCCAATCACTGCAAACAGGGCAGCAAAGAGCACCACACAGTTCCCCACAAACTCCACGTGGATACCCAGCCACCTGGTAGGAACCAAAGAAGGAGGAAGTGAGCAAGAGCAGGGAGCCCACCCAGACCACAGAGAGCCTGTGGGCACCTGGAGAGGAAAGGGAGGTGCCTGACCGGTTGGAGGCGATGTAGGGGTAGCAGCTCTTCTGGTTGTTGTCCACCTTAGTATCACTGAGGACCTTGAAGTCCTGGATTCGGCCATAGGCCCGGATGACACTGGTGCCCGTCACCGTCTCCGAGAAGTGGGAGAAGATGGGTGAGCGGCTGATGGATTCCAGCCGCTTCAGCTGCCGTGATGTGGCCACATAGAAACGCTGATGAGGGGGGGAGAACTCCAGTCAGCCCTGCCTGTCCTCCAAACAAATTCCCCCTACTGGCCTTCCCCTCCCACAAGACCTTGATGTCTCTTCCTATGGTCCCTTGGAGAGCAGATTCTAGGCTAAGTTATATACTTGCACTCTGATCAGCTTTGCTCAGTCAGCCAGGCCACCTCTTCCATGAAGCTCTCCCTGATTCCCTATGCCCTCCTGTCTCATCATCTTTTGCAGACCATTGACACCATCTTGTTTAGCCTCCCAAAATTTCTTCTCCTGCTTAAAGACCCTAGATACGTGACTTTGCAAAAAAAATTTTTTTTTCGTGTCTCTTTTTATTTTTCCCTGAAAAACAAAACAACTACCTTCCTAGTTGTTTAAGGGTCAATCCCACAAAACTATGGTTCTGCCTTCGTTTTCCAGCCTGTATTCTGCAGGCCCCAGGATAGGAAGGCCTGCACAGGATGGGTATAGAAGAGGATCTTTCCCCAGAAGCTGCACTTCCAGCCCCTTCTGGGAACCGATGGCCTCCCTGAAGAGAAAGATCCCAGCCAGCACAAGCCCTTACAGTGAGCTGTTGCTCAACACTGAGCAACCCAGATGACACAGATATGTCTAAGAGTGCATACAAAGGACCGGGCCTCCCAAACTGTTTACAGTCATTCACTAAGTTAACCCCAGTCGGTGTAGAGCCTGAGGAGAAAGGTCACTCAGTAGACTGCATCTCACACAAGCTTGAAGACCTGAAGGGAGATTCCCCAGCACGCACATAAAAACCCAGGCATGGCAGTGCACACCTCTGACCCCAGCACTGGGGAGGACAGGGGCAAGCTCACTGGGCATCAGCCCAGCTGCAGCCAATGATCCAATGAGAGGAGGGCGACTGAGGAAGACACTTGACCTTGACCTCTGACCTCCATATATATACATACATACGCACACACAGACATGGCTGCCATTTTATGAACACACATCTCATCCTCACGTCATCTGTACGAAATAGATGCTAAGGGTCTATCTTACAGGTTAGATTAGTGAGTTTTAAGGAAGGGGTGCAATCGACTGCAGTCCCTGATCCGATCCAGGCACACCCTAGCCTACAGAGGTGCCTGGCCTCTCTCGAGCTCCACCCGCCCCATGAGCTTCGGCACCCTGCCTGTCCACACCTGTACAAAGCCGTAGAGAACAGCCAGCGGCAGGGCGACCACAATGAAGAGCGGCGTGGTGGCGATGATGACCACGAGGATGGAGATGGACGAGAAGAAGGAGTTGAACAGCATGAGGATGGTGGGGGCCAGAACCTCATCGATGACGTAGATGTCCTTAGAGAAACGGTTGAGGATGCGGCCCGACGGCGTGGTGTCGAAGAAGGACTGGGGCGAACGAATCTTGTTGTCCAGCAGAGCTGCGTGCAGCAGGCGGGCAGCCTGGATGGCGCCGACCACCATCGTGAAGGCTGACAGCATGACCAGGAGTCCTTAGGGGGAGGGGCAGAGGGTGAGTCTTCCTCAGGGGAGGAAGCCAGGAGAGAAGGGCGGGATGAGACATGGGATGGCCAGGTGGCGTTATGGAGGCTCTGAGACAGGGATACGGTTTTGTGGTTTGGGGAGAGGAGAGGAAAGGACGAGGGAACCCATTTTGGGCATCCCAATGTGTTCACCTTGCAGTAGCCCTAGGGCAGCATAGACGCCTAGCCTCGTGGAGGTGTTGTTCTGCTGGCCTTGTACCACCGCGTCATTGGTCCAGGCACTGAGCCACACACTGGCTCCAATTGAAGCCGCACTCTGGCCAGCGTACAGGAGGCAGATAGCTACGGTGGTACAGAGCCCCACAGACTTGGCATAATCCCAGAACACGCTCAGCTTCACCTGTAAAAAAGCAGCCACACCATCTCCATGAGCTCCGGGGGCGGGGACCTGATGAGCATCCGAAGCCCACGCAACGCCATACTCACATTGCCTGTCTCTGCCACCTCCTCTTTGATCAACGCACCGGTCTCCTTAGTCTTTGTCACCTGTGGCTCCTTCTCTGATAGACTCGTGTGTCTCTTGAGCACAGGCCGGTTCTGGCCCTCCCCTTCTGAAGACAAGGAGCTCATCTGTCTGTGGAGGCAACGGGTCAGCCCCAGGCAGGGGACCACTGACACCCTCCCCACAAGGATGTGTGAGTGCCTCAGACGGGCGTCCGCTTGCATTCTGCCTGCCAGGGATTGGCGACCCTGGGGTAGCCTTCCGGGGCCTTGAGAGCTCTTGGTAATTTACCTCATGAACTGCTTGCGGACCTCGTAGATGGCTGGCTCATTGTCCGTCAGGTCTGTGTGGGTGCTGAGTGTGTCTTCCACCAGGAGCACCTCCTCATCTACGATTTGCAAGGCTAGAAGCAGGGAAGGGAAGACACAGAGGCTGACTGCTCCTTCTGCGGCCTTCCAGTCCCTGTCCTCCACACCAGTGGGAGGTCTGGATGGACAAGCAGGGGTCGAGGAGAGGGTTTGAAGGAGAGCTGGAAGGAAATGGGTTTAGGCAACACCCACACACACCCGCACACATGTCTTCCCTTTGGAGGCTGTAGAGAAGGGGACTCAATAGGCTGAAGACTTGGGCTCTGAAGTCAGTCTGGTTGACCTTAAATCCTACTTCCTTGATGGCAGCAGGGCCTTAGGCACACATGGCTAATGGTAGTAATCATGGGTAGCTCACGGTACCACCAGGCACCAAGAGGCCTAAGGAAGGGATGTGTGTTCTGAATTTATCAAGGGGCATAGCACTCCGGGAAACGCTCATGCAGGCTGACTATATACAGGGCATCAGGCAGGGGAGCCCAACTGAAGGCCAGAGAGCTAACTTGGAGTGTCAAGGGAGGGAGCTCTGACTGGGCAGCAAAGTGGGGAGCCTTTTGTGAGCTCAGACATTGTCCCGGGCGTCACGATGAGAGAGGCTTTTTGTTCATCTGCTATCTGAAAGCCTCCCAAGTCAGAGTAATTATCAACAATTCTTATTGGTAACTAAATGATTTACCAACTTACTGGACAATTCAAGCGTGGAACAGTTTTACTATAGACTCTGGGTCTGAGCTCATGTGTCCTTTTAACAAAGGGGAACACAGACCCTGAGACCCGCTCTGCTGATGAGGCCTCCCCCAGTTAGCAGGGAGGAGGTAGGATCTGAGTGCATTACTGTTCACTTATCACACACACGACTCCGGTTTCCAGAGCTAGGTCCTGAGCACCATCCTAGGTCAGTCCAGAGACACTTGGAAACCCCAGAAGAGGTGGGTGCTGGGAGATGATACGTGTTGGGTATTAATTTTTGGCCACCTTCATGGTCCTCCTGGTCTTCATCCGGTGCATAGTTCCGGAGGAAGTTGGCAAATGAGCCATCATGCTTCAGGAGGGCCGAGTAGTGGCCTATCTCAGACACCTGTCCGTCAGCAAGCACAATGATGAAGTCCGTCTGGGGCAGGAAGCTGATGCCATGGGTGACCAGCACCCGGGTCTGTGGAGAAGGCAGGAGGCCCTGAGCTGCAGCACCCTTAGGCATAGCCCAAACAGAGCCTTGGGGGTAAACATGAGGAGTCATAGGCTGGGCATATCCTCGGCTTATCCCATGCCAGCCAGAGCTCGCTTGGCATCCTGGGATGTGTGTCCCTGTGAATTGGCCCTGACCATATCCTGCTTCCTAGTCTCGGAGTCTTACCCAACCCCCTCAGCCTCCCATCTGTTCTCTCCCAGGACCACATCTCACACATCTCCACATCTTTGCTCCCAGCTTCCTGTGACCTCACCTTGCCTGCCAGTACACCTTCTGGTCCAATCACTTGGTCGAAAATATGTTTAGCCACATGAGAGTCCACAGCTGACAGTGGGTCATCAAGCAAAAAAATGCTGGCATTACTATAAACGGCTCGGGCCAAACTCACTCGTTGCCGCTGGCCTCCAGATAGGTTGATGCCCTACAGGGAGGAGGAGAAGGTGGGTAAGGTGTGGTAGGAAATGGAAGGAGTTCAGAGACCCGTTGTCACTCAGCAAGGCAAAGCTCTGAATCTGTATTTCATAGGATCCTTGGCTATTTCCACAAATTTGGAGCCCACGCAAAGCTATAGTCCTCAGAAGAGGGTGTGTTGGCTCTTAGAATCCTCTGGGGGCAGATGAGCCTATTCAAGCACACTGTCTAGTTGGCTGCCCAGCCCAATGCCAGTGTTCAACTAGACGAAGGCAAAAACAACAGGTAGTACATCCATAGACTGGAATGTTATTTAGCTTTTGAAGAAAGGAAATACTGACACAGGCTACAACAGGGCTGAACTCTGAGGACATTATGCCAACTGAAATCAGCTGGACACAAAAAGGCCCGTATCGTGCGACTCCATTTACACTGGTGCCTAGGCTAGCCAGATTCTGAAAGACAAAGTGGTCAGTGTCAGAGGTTTGGGGGAGGGTGGGGGAGAAATCGAGAGCTGTTCAATAAGGACAGACAATAAGGTCTGAGTGACATTTGGAACGACCATGTTCTAACAAGTATTACATAACATTGAACATGTACATTATGTGACTGAACTGGGCGTGAAAAGATAGTGAAGGTTGTACATTTAATGTCAGGTGGCCTTTCTCACATTTTTTTTAAAATGAAATACTTTAGAAATAAAAACAAGGGATGGCAAGATAGCTCACCAGAGAAAGGTGCTTGCCACCAAGTCTGAGGATCTGAGTTTGAGTCCTGGTACCCAAAAGCAAAAGGAGAAAATGGCCTCCACACAGACCCTGTAGCACCTTATGTTCTCCCACGCACATCGCCCACAAATTCATGTAATAAAAAGCAAGCCCACACCTGGGGTGGTGGCACACACCTTCAATCCCAGCACTCAGGAGGCAGGAGCAGGCAAGTCTCCATGCGTTTGAGGCCAGCCTGGTCTACAAAGAGAGTTCCAGGATGGCCAGGGCTGTTACACAGAGAAACCCTATCTCAAAAACAAAAGCAAAAAAAACAAACAAACAACATCAAAAAAAAAAATCAAGCCCCCCAAAAGAAAAACAAAAATTATAAAGCAGGGCTCCATGCTTTATAATTTCAAGGTCCTAATCAAACCAAGTACACGCCTTTTATCCCAGCACTTGGGAGGCAGAGGCTTGCTCTCTGAAAGTTCAAGGCCAGCCTGGTCTACAGAGTGAGTTCCAAGACACTCAGGGCCATTCAAAGTGCGTCAGATGCCCATCTGTGACTACTGAGGCTAGGCTCACTCTCCAAGGGCCTCCTACCACTCTGGGTAAAACTGGAGTCTTCAAATGGCCTACATGGCTCTAAATGTCCTGGCTGTCTGATAACCTCCCTTTGCTTCCCTTTCTTCTCCTGACCCTTCAACCACGTTGGTCTCCTCCTTGGGCTAAGGCCAGTCACACATTTGCCTGATGCTTTGAACGCTCTGTTCTTTCGATGACTCCAGACTAGATATCTAGATAGCCAGGCCTCCATGGCCCTGTGCAGGACTGTTCCTTCTGTTCAGGTTTCTGTTTCTCAGTGAGAAACAGTTTCTCCCTACCAAAACAGCCTGGCACAGATTCTTATATTCCTGAGCTGTTTTATGTCCCTCCTTTAGAGTTATCTACATAATATATAATCTTATGTAGTGTATTATATACAATATATAAATGAATAAATAAAATATAAATATATAATTATTATATAGATATAGTATATCATATATTTTTATATAACAATATATAATATATATTGCTTATCTTGCTTATTGGTTTTCTTTCCTCTGCTATAATGTAAGTTATATAGAAACAGATTTTTATCCTGGTGCACTCACCACCATATAATATTCCCTGCCATATAGTAAATGCTTGAAAAAAAACCTGGTGGATGAATCAATCAATGATGAGCTTCTCTTTCTCAGTCATTAAGACTCAGCTCACAAGTGACACTTGTTTTTATACAGACCCTTTACTCCTGCCTCCTGCCCTTTTTCTGTCCTGCATAGACCTTTGCCATGACCTGAGGACATTCTGTAGTCCTTATCTGTTCACCGGTTGTCTACCCTGGAATAAAGATGTTTCCCCAGTGCCTGGCACAGATCTGGGCAGAATGATACATGAATACGTGAGTGAGTGAGAGAATCTGAGCTTGGGGTCTGGCTAGTAGCCTCATGAACCGGCCCCTCAGGGTTGAAAAGTTGACTCCACCTTCTCGCCAATCTCTGTCTGGTCCCCGCCAGGAAGCACGTCTAGGTCAGCTAGTAGGGCACACGTCTCCAGAGCCTGTTGGTAGCGCTTGGGGTTCATGGGTTGGCCAAACAGCACATTCTCCTGAAGTGTGCAGTTTTGGATCCACGCCTGCTGAGGCACATAGGCCACAGAGCCCTGGCCAATGGAGAAGGGAGAAGGTGCCTTAGGGGTTGCCCCAGGCTGGCCAGACTTCACGCCTTTCCAGGAGACCCTCCCCTTCTCACCTTCACAGACACCATGCCCTCCAGCTTCTCCATCTCTCCGAGCAAAGCAGACACCAGGGAGGACTTCCCACAGCCCACGGGCCCCACCACAGCCACCAGTGCCCCCTTTGGGATTTGAATGTTTAGTCTAGGAGCAAGGAGGGAGCGGGCGGTCAGCGGCAGGGCTTGGGTTTGATCCAAGCCTTCCATGTGCAGACCCAAGCCCTCCTCCCTCCCTGACACCACATTGGCTAAGCAAGTTCTCCTTGCAGTCCCTGTCAAAGACAGAAACCAGGAGAGAGGAGGCTACGCTTGGTCTGATCTCTGCCCGCTTCGGATAGCCGGCAAGTGAGTGACGGAAGATGATGGGTACCTGTGCAGGGTAGGTGGCAGGTCCTGGGCCCAGGTGAAGGTGCCATTGTTTATAGTGATAGCATAGCCTAGGAGGACCAAAGTGCATAGAGTCAGCAAGCCTAGGACATTGGAAGATGGAGGGGAGGCATGGGAGGAGGCTGGGCAAGAGACAGGATCCCTGGAGCAAGGGCAGAGGGAGGAGTATGAGCCCTGGGGGAGGGATAAAGGAGAGAAACTGATTAACAGTGGGACTGTAGAGTTCAGAGAAGAAGGCAGGTCACAGGAGGAACCTTAGAAAGCTTGGAGCAGGACTGCCCTGGAGTAAGGGCGTTGGGACCTGGGGAGATGGTCTTTCTTTCCACACACTGGGGGTCAAGTTCATCTTGGTTCAGGAAATCCTGGATCCGTTTCAGAGACACACTGGCCTGCAGGAGGGCGTGGGTTAATCTCACCAATGCTCTCTGGGTCCCCAACTTCTGGGGTTATGCAAGGTCTCCTGAGGACCTACTCACTAATGATGGGGCCCCCCTTGACCCAAATCTTGCATGGCTCCCACTGCCTGAAGAGAAGGTCCAGTTTGCTCTAAAAGGAGGCTGCGTCAGAAATTCAGACCGTATGACTCTAAACCACCCAACTTAACCTTCACAGCTTTTCCTGATGCCCTCTCCCCAACCGATTATCCATTAATCCTAAGTCAACTTTGCCTGACATATATGCTCACATATCCTAAGTCCAGCAGATCCCCTGCTTGCCCTGAGTTACCTGGGTCAGGCCACTGATTAACTGAGGCAGCATGTTGAGAGGGTTCTTTAAGATGTTGAACAAAGACACAGACACAAAGGCCTTCTCAGCATCCAACACGTTGTTCTCATCCACACACACGTACACTCCGAGGGTAACCAGGGTTACCTGGGTAGCAGCGGAATTAGGTGGTATGGTGGAGTCTGTTAAGACCCAGGGAGTCCCCAAGACCTGGGCTGGCCGACCAACTGCCAGGAACCCCACACCTGAGGGGAGCCTCACCAGGAAGGGGGTGCAGACCCAGATGAAGGTGGAGATAGCCTGCAGGTAGGCACCCTTGCGCAGCAGCTGAAGCTCGCCCTGCCTGATGCCTTCTACCTGCCCCAAGAAGCTGGGCTCCCAAGCGTACAGCTTCAGCACTTTGATGCCATTCAGGATCTCGCTCATCAGCTTGATGCGAGAGTCCTTGAACTTCATTTGCTGAACCTGTGTAGAAAGGAACGGTCACAGCCCTCTCCCCCCCCCCAGACCTCCTACCCCACTGGGCTCACACCTTCCAGACCATCTCATCCGCTAGAGCCATGGCATGTTGCTCAACACGCCTCCCCATCCCACCTCAAATGCCCAGAGGCCTGCCTGTCCCCACACAGCCTGTGTCCTCTGGCTCAGAAGGGCAGTCCCATCCTCAGTGTCGCCCGCCTTAGCAGGCAGCATTCTTTGCCTTCGCCTTTCATTCCAATCCCCACCTCCTCACACAGTGACCCCGGTCAGACCATGAGCCTCCCAGGGGGCAGGAACTGTTTTTCTGTTCTCGAAGATCCTAATCGATCCTGGCACAGCACAGTGATTCATTCACTCAGCTCTTGTTTGCCGAGTGCCCGGGTGCCAAGCCATGTGCCAGATGAAGGATATCAAGGTGAGCTGTTCAGGTGAGACCCTGGTCATCATAAAGCTGACAGTCTCACGGCAGAGGCAGACAAGAAGGATGCCATGTTGGGCATGGTGGTGGGGTTCTTTAATCCCAGAACTCGGGAGGTAGAGGCAGGTGGATCTCTGTAAGCTCAAGGTCAGCCTGGCCTATAGAGTGAACGCCAGGACCCTATCTCAAATCAATCAGAGATGACAGATGCTAAATTATAAGCCATTGTGTGTGTTCTAAAGAGAAAGAATAAACTGCAGTAAGGGGATAAACTGTCAGGGTAGGGGAACTACACTGGGATAATTAAGGTGGCTCTCTGAAGGAAGTGATGTGTATGCTGAGAGGTAAAGAAACAGAAGGTGTTAAAGAGGCAAGGAGAGTAAGGAAGACAGAATAGTACATGCAGTGTCCCAGAGGTGCGTAGAGTTTGGCAAAGCCAACACATCTGGAATGTGGTCATTCCACAGGGAATAACAATAGAGACACAAAAGGTTCAAGGGCGCCTGGAGGGTGGTTGTGGTGGTTTGAATGAGAATGGTTCCCATAGACTCATATATTTGAAAGCTTAGTCACCAGGGAGTGGCTCTATTTGAAAGGATTAGAAGGATTAGGAGGTGTGGCCTTGTGAAAGGAAGTATGCCACTTGGAGTGGGCTTTGAGGTCTCTCTCTCTCTCTCTCTCTCTCTCTCTCTCTCCTCTCCCTTTGGATGAGGATGTAACTCTCAGCTACCTTTCCATCACCATGCCTGCCATGTCTGCTGCCTGCTTCCTACCATGGTGATAATGGACTAAACCTCTGAAACTGTTAGCAAGCCTCCAATTAAATGCTTTATTTTATAAGAGCTGCCTTGGTCATAGTGTCTCTTTACAACAATAGAAGTATGACTAAGACAACGGTCTCAGCTCGTCATTTATCCTATGTGTACAGGGAGCTGCTGAAGACTTCAGTAATCATTTGCAGATGGATAATTCACTATTATCAACACTCATCACCATAAAGTGGGTACACATTTGAGTCCCTGCTCTACCCACCTCTGGACTGCCACAATTACTCTGGGCCTTGGTCTCTCTGCTGTAAAATAGGACAGTCACTACAGTGATGGGGACTGAGGTGAGGTTTGAACAATGGACTATGGCTGTTCACATCCAGTACAGAGAATGGAGAATCCCTGAGAGTAGGAGGTGAACACTGACTCCCAATGCTACCCCCCAGCTGGTGTTACCAGCTAAAGCAGGGATCTTTAGCATCACCCACCTGGTAGGTCCGCATCTTCATGGACACAGCTCCGTTGAGTGGTATTAGCAAGATTATGACTGCCACTCCAGCCAGGGCTGATGGTCCCAGGATCTGAAGAGGTACAGACAAATGGACGGCCAGGTAAGACCCTTATAGATAACTTAAGGTAAGAACTTAGAGATAACCAAGGTCTTCAGACAGAGCTCAGTAGAGACTGGCTGACTTGAAATATGGCAGGCAGGAGGCAAAAGACACCAGTCAGGCAAGGACACAGAAAGATACAACCATGTCAACAGAAGCAGCTAGCTATCAGATGATGACCAGAGATGGCCAGTGACACATGGAGAGAGGGATGTCCAAATTAGTCATGCTGGAACAGGTCGGGGGTTCTATAACTTAGATGGTTTGAAGCCTGCTTGGGCTACTCAGTGATTTCAAGATCACTCTAAGCAACTTAACAAGACCCCATCTTGAAATAAAAATTCAAATGGCACAGGGGTCAGTGGCAGAGTGGGTTCAATCCCAGTACTACAAAAAAGTTGAAAAAGTAGGAAAAGAGAAGGCATGGTGGAGAAGATGGTGGTGAAGGAGGAGGAAAGATAATACAAACAGACCAGGAATGATAGCTATATCCACACCCACCCCGCCTTCGAGAACCTCCTGACCCTGGCTTTTGGGGAATAAATTGCAGCCTAGGGTAGGAAGATTGAGTGCTAGGTTTCCCCAGTACTTAGGGGAAATGTTTTATGGGCATTACACAGTTCATTTATCAGCAGAGATAGCTGTAGTCAAAGGAAGGGACAGAGGTCAAAGTTCAGGAGTTACCTGCCAGAGGAAGTATATTGCCAGGATGACTTGCAAGGGTACAGACCACAGCAGGTTGATGAAAGGGGACACATCCATGAAACGCTGGGCATCCACTGACATGAGGTTGACCATTTCTCCCACGGTGGACTTACGTTTGGCTGAGTTGGTGATGACCAGAGCCTGCGAATGAACAGTGTGGGGGTGGACCAGGCCCATGAGCTTCTCCCAACCAGACCAGAATAACTGACCTCTCCCAGTGCGTGTCCCACTCTCTGGCTAACCTTCCTGTAGATGACGCCTATGATGGCAGTCCGTACCCTCAAGGCCATCACAAAGATGCAGTGGAAATACTGGTGTAGGATCAATATCTGCATCATGGAGCTCATGAACATCAGCCCGGCCAGCAGGAAGCCCCACCAGGTTGGGGCCTTGGGGTCAGAAATAAACCTGATGAGTATGCTGCCAAGAGAAGACCAGGTATGAGGCTGGCAGGCTCTTCACAGCCTGTCTCCCAAGCAGCAGCTCATATCGCCAGCCTTGCTTTGCTTGTCCTCGCCACCCAGTATGGCACGGCAGGCACAAGAGGCATGTTTCCACTGGCTAGATCTTCTTACCATTCTCCTGGGCCGCTGGGGGTTCTAGAACCCACCGCAGGGCCACGTGGACTTTCACTCCACAAATCCTCTCCGCACTTGGTCCCCAGTGCCATCTGCTTGCCATCTGTTTGCTGGGACTCTTGTCCACCTCTCCTGTGGCTCTCTTTACCTTTCTTCTCTTACCTCCCAGCCTTGTCCCCACTCCTTGCCACTCTCAGCAGCTCCCTGTCTTCCCACTTAATTGGCCATTGAGAATTCCCTGATGCCCCAAAGCTTCCAAGCTTCCCCAAGCTCATCCTTTGCTCCTGTCTTGGAAGAGGAGTTGTTCTTCCGGCTCTCCAAACCCTATCTTGTCTTCCTGTTGGGGAAGATCCAACAGGAAGATTGGATCCCATTGTTGCATGATATTCAATACTGTCTCCTCTTCTGGCAGCTCTGTTCCTTCACTTACCCACACGAGCAAGACTCATCACGTCAGAGAACAAACCTCCTCTTGACCTCCTGGAGCTTTCTAGCCACCAGCAGAGTCAAGCCTGCCATTCCCCTGGGGGCTGAACTGTGTCTTGACCCTGTGGTATCTATGAATGTGCCTTCACATAGGCGCAGAATCTTTGTAGCTTATAATCAGGACGAGGCCTTGCTGGCGTGATTGTTTATCAGAAGAGTGGAAGATTTGCACAAGTACACACACAGGGGTAGGGGGAGGTGTGTGATGGGGGCAGAGATCTGAGTGATAAAATTTCATGTCAGGGAACACCAGGGATTGCTGACAACCACCAAAGCTGCAGGACAGGACCAGGAGAGATGCTCACTCAGGGTCTTTGACGGAAACCAGTCTGAGTCAGAGCGTGGAGACATGTGTCTGAGTCCCAGCACTCCAAAGACTGAAGCAAGAGGATTGTCAATCAAGGCTAGTCTGCGACCCCTAGCAAGATTCAATCTCAAGAAAACAAAAGAGCGGATCTGGGTGCAGCACTGCATGGTTTTAATCCCGGCACACAGGAGGCAGAGGGGGAAAGCTCTTGTGGGTTTGAGGCCGGCCAGCCTGGTCTGATGGAGAGAGTTCCAGACCAGGCTGTGCTATATCGTGAGATCATGTCAAAATAAAACAAAACCAAACCAACCAAACAAACAAAACCCCACCACCAATCCTGTCAACACATCTTGATTTTGAACAGTGGGGCAGAAGGGGAAGGAATACTTTCTATTGTTTCAAGTTGCCCACATAATGACAACTTGTCAGAATATCACCGTAAACTGTACAGGTGTCTTTGCAGCACACTTTGAGACTTTGATTTCATGGCAGATGCTCTCAGATGCTCTGGAGTCTTCCCCCTCTGCCCCAGGTCCCAGTCTTTTCAAAGCTGCTAACCGACTTCATGCTGCCTTCCCAGGGAGGAGTTGGCTGGTTCATTGTGTGTACTGGAAGCCTTTCTTGCCCCCAGAAGCACTCTCTTGTGCTCATCTTGTGTGTCCTCCCCTTGTTTGTCACCTTGTCTGTCAGGACTGCTGAGGATCTGCTGAGGACTCCTCCCTCTCACAGACTGTCTAGGTGAGCTAAGTCCCAGACATGGAACCCTGGACTTCTACTAAAGGCATTTCTTCTTAGAGGGACCACCTAGCCAGGACCTAGCCCTATGCTAAGCCTCTTTCTCACTGTGAACTCATCAATTAGGGAAAGGTCCATGGTCCCTCAATGGCACAGGCCACTTGATAGCATAGTTCCTGAATCCTCCCCTGCCTCCCGGCTTCTGCTGCCCTCTGACCCGCTTGGCCTACCTACATCTTGGCACCTTGCCCTCCTCCTCCCACACTGGGACAGCACCAGCCTTCTGAAACTTAAACAAGATGCCCCTCCCTGGCTTTCTCTCGCTCCATCCCAACCCCACCCTTGGGTAGCTTTCTCCAGCTGTCCTAAGCTGCAACTCCCGAGTCATGCTGCCTCAGCCCTTTGTGACGCAACTGGTGGCACCTCCCCTCCTCCTTCATTTACTTATTTCTTCAAAGATAACCTCTTGATCTGGCACACTGTTCTCTGACTGAGCAGGCTGACTTCCTGGCCTCCCCAGGCACTCCCCAGTATTCTTCCTGAATTTCCTCTGGCTTCTCCCATGAGACCTTAGGACTCTCATTTATCTGCAAACCTGGTGGAGGTTGCTAGTGGTGCTCCATGGATGTTTGTTGAGTTGATGCATGTGAACAAAGTGGAAAAACAATTCAGGGCGCAGCTCCACATCTCACCCTGTCACATGAGCACTCTCTCTAGTCCAAACCTCTCCCATGACAGATGGCAGAGGCTGTCGGAAGCGGGAAGAGCTCCATAGTTGGACTTCTGAACCCTGGACTAACATCTGCCTTGTTTTACCAGCTGTGTGCTTCACCTGAGCATTTGCCTTCACATTTGTCAAAAAAAGGAGATAAGGGTACCAGAGGACTCCTGAACAAGGATAAAGGGAGGTGCTTCTCCTGACAAGCAAATGGTATCTGCAGATATATGGGGAATGGGACTGGGAAAGAGAGTTGCAAAGGCAATGCTGGCTGGCCAAGGGTCACCCACAAAGCAGAGAAAGCCTCTTCGGTTCCCGGTGTGGGGCAGCTAGCCATCCCTCCTCCCATGAGAGGGCTGCAGCAAGAGGAAATGTGGTGGCACCTGAGCAGTTGCGGGTTGATGAAGGAAAGCAGGTCTGGGATCAGCTTGAAGCAGGCACCCATGAGCAAGCTGGAGGTGAAGGTTCTCACCAACGCCCACAGAAAGGAGAGCTTCTTGGACTTGGGCTGGGCCCTCAGTAGGACATCATCTTCACTTGGGACCTTTTGTTCATCTGTTGCAGCCTGGGGCCTATTTGGGGAATAAAAAGTGGGTGAGAATGTGTTGTTGGTTCCAGGAGACTAAGGGCCAGTCTAGGCTAGACAGGTAAGAGAAGGAGGAGGAGGCGGCAGTGATAACAGCTGAACTGGAAGGCGGATAAACAATATCATTCCCCCAGATGACTGCCTCCAGGAGCCAGGGGTTGCTTGCTGAAGTGAGCTTTGTGGATATAGTTCTGGGTTGTCTGTGGTCTCTTCCTGCCTCCCAGAGCTGGCTTCAGTAAAGACATTGAGACTGAAGAGATCAGGGAAGGTAGGGTAGAAGGCTTAGTCTTTGAAAAGCTGAACAGGGAGGGGATAGAGGCGGTATCCGGGAACAGTGAAGGGGTACAGCTGGGCCTCTCCAAGAGCCCCAAGGCAGGGAAGCTACCATGCTGCTGGCCAAGCCCTGTTTTTGTTCCACTAACACCTAATATGCCAGTGGCTCTGGGATGACCAAGGTCTGACTTCTAAAGCCTGGGATGTGTGCAAGAGGGAAAAGGGCTTGGCTGTGGGTGGTGGATGAGAGGCTGCCAGCTCCAAGGCCCTAAGCCTCCGGCTCTCTCATTCTCTCTCATTCAAGCCTGCCTCCAGACAAGAGAGGCAGGATTGAGAGGGCTGGCCCTACCCTCCCTAGGAAAACCCCTGAAATTTCCAATTCAAATAAGACACAGTAGAGCAAAGATCTGATTAGGGCCCCTGGGCCAGCCGGGTGTGGATGATGGCTCTGTCAACATCAGCGGGGAGACCCTGGCTGTGTCATTAAACCTCTAAGCTTCAGTGCCCCTCTCTGAGTCAAAGGAACAATAAAGTGAATACTCTTGGGCCGCTGAGAAAGGGAATGAGGTACTTTACATGCTCAGGGCTGTGCCTGGCACACACCGAGTGTCGGCATCGGCTTGTCAGCATCGGCTTGTCCTCAGTGAACCACGGAGGACAGGTCCCACCCAGGCCTCACTCCCACCTGCATCATGGAGACTTCCGGATGCTTGCTGATCTTCCCACTCTTGCCTACACGATCTTCCCAGGTCTTTGAGCAACTGGGAAGTGTGGAGAGTCAGGGTATTGAGAAGTGAGGCTAGGGCCCTGAGAGCCCAGGGAGGTCTCACTCACCCTGACGCCTGGTTCTTCTGCTTCTGCCATGCTTCCAGCAGCCGTTGTACTACCTTGTGAGAGCAGTCCTCCTCCGACAGAGACCAGAGGTCGCGCTCCTCCAGGGGACGTCGGTAGCCGAGGATGGCTAGCCTGGAGGAGGGAGGAGGAATCCCCCACACATGGTCAGAAGCCTAGAGAGGTAGCTCTAGGGCCTCGGGTCGGGGGAGATCCCCCCCCTTGGCTGCAGCATCCAAAGTCATTCTCACGATGAGCAGGTTCTCTCTCTTAACTTGCACCTCTCTCAGCCTCTTTCCTGTGTGTCCCCAGATGCTCTACCTGTCTAAGGGCTTTGGCGATGAAATCCACACCGACTGGGCCTGAGTGTGGACAAGGCAGGAGGGATTCAGGCCAGCCTCAGGTGCAGGTAGTTAATGAGTTGTCACCCAGGTCACAGACACAATTATCCTGCTCAAGATACTCTGAAGGGGGCAGGCAAGGAGACTGACAAGCTGGAAGCTTACGGAAGAGGTTGGAGCTAATTATGGTCTCCTTTCAGCCCTCCGCTCCTGTCCCTGTGGCCTTGCCAGATGCAGGGATAGCCTATAGCCTGGAACTTAGACTGGGCCAGGCTCAGCCTCTGCCTTCAACCCTCAGCCCAAACAGCCACCTTTTCCCACACTCGCCTGCCCACCCAGTCATTGGGGGTGGCAGTGTGGGGGTGAGGTAGGTCAGGTCCATTTCTGGGGTTCCTGAACTTCCTTTTCCCCCTCCTCAGGTCTAAGCTAGAACAAGAGCCAACTTACTTTGTGAACCACCAGAAAGATAGGCGGGAGAAGAAGCCAGCACTGGACTCTGGGCAAGGATTCTAGAAGGAGAGAGAAGGGAACAAGGGGATCAGAAGTGTCCTCTAGCATCTCAGCACCTAGGAGAGGCAGGAAAGCCATCATTCCTTCATTCTCTCAGCCTGTTCACCAGCTGTGGAGGTGATTCCCACCCCCCTGCTTGAGTGAGATTGGAGAGACACACTGTTGGTATCATTTGGGCTGAGGTACAAACTGTGAAGCCCCTGCATACCCTCCCAAGGCAAACTCACAGGGTCCACATCCACTGGGGAGAACAAAGGTGGTTTCTCCTTGAAGCAGGACAGGACGAGGGCGCTGAGCAGCAGGGCAAAGTAGATGTAGAAAGTGGTGAAGCGGAAGGGATCGGAGATCTTACCCTGGCGGAGAGTGGACAGGGACCTCAGAGGCTTTTGGGAGGGCTGGCCTGCAGCCCGGCACCCTGGGGCGTCAGGCTCATTTGGAGCACCCAGAGGATGCTGAGTGGGGGAGGTATGGGAAAAAGCACGTGGTGTTGGGGGGCAGGGACATGGTGAGGACTCGCCTTGAGCCAGTCATTGTGCTGGACCCCAAAACCCAACAGCTGCCTCCTTCCTTGCCTAGGTCCTCCCAAGAGAGGGAGATGGGGGCCACCTGGCTGTCTGTGCTCGGCCCTACCCACCATCAGAGAGGGAGGCCAGACTGAAGCAGGTGGGAAGAAACAGAACACACGATGGGGCGGGGGGGTCTTCATGCATGCCTGCACGTGTGTTTGCGACAGACACTGAACCCGGGGATGCCAGTTACAGAACTGTCTTCCCCTCCCCCCACACACCAGCACACCCAGGAGCATCTAACCACTGTGGGGTCTTTGAGCTATTTCCTTGCATTGCTCAGATCTCCCACTTCCTGCCACCGTGACAAGAGATGTAGCAGGGGGAGGGGCAGCACGACAGGTGCCGCACAGAGGAAATCCTGGGATTGGGGAGAAGCCTAGAATCCTCAGTAACCTTGAGCCTTGAAGCCATGCCCCTGAACGGGGCTGACCCCTTACCTCTGCCACGGCGGAGAGGATCTTGGAGCGGAAGGGTATGATGGCGCAGATGACGCACAGGAGCCAGAAGATGATGAGCACCCCTGAAGACTGCACCCCCCGGAGCCGCTCATACTGAATCAGCAGTGTGGCAAGCAGCTATGCGGGAAGGACACGGAAGGCATGTCCTATCTCTTCCTCCAAGCCCACTGTCTTAGCATACTCCGCAGCCCGCTAGCGACCTTCCACACGGTCTCCTGGGCCCCACACTAACCATGGTGATCCCCACCACCAACGGTGTGATAAAGAAGACAGGTGCAGGGGACGAGCCGTGGATCAGGCCATGGAAGGAGTAGAAGAGGTCCACCCATGAGATACACCACAGCAGAACACCTAGGGCCTGCGGACAGTACACAGGTTGGAGTCTCCATTCCTAATGGCAGCTCTAGTCCCTGCTGGGGAGAGGACCCTGATTACGCAGCCATCATAAGCTACCAGACCTGCCTGGGCCCGCTCAGAAGCTTCCAGGGTAATGGGATGTTCTGTCGTTGAGCTTTCTACAACTTTGAAAACAGGGAAGGGCTGCAGACCCGTCAGTGGACTTCTGTGGCCCGGGACTGTGGGGCAGGGGAAGGCTAGGAACTCTGGGTTAGCTGCCAGTATGGGACAAGGAGTTCATTCGAAGCAGAATCCTTTAGGTCCCCCACCCACCCACCCAGTGGACAACACTGGGTCCCTGACCGTCTTGAGCCTGGACAATCGGGAGAGGACGATGTAGCCGAGCTTATGGTGCCGTAGATAGAACAGGTAACAGGGCAAAGCGGCCCACAGGTAGATGCAGGGGATCCAGGCCAGCAAGGAGTTCTGGAAACAGGGTGTGAGGTCTGGTGTATTGGTATATACAGACAGGTTGGAGTCCTGGGGACAGAAACAGAACAATTTGGCGTTGTGGCGACCTTCGGCAGACACAGTTGTCCCGAAGGGAGGTGGCTGGATTAGGCAGCTACCAGCACGGGATAGAGGAAAGGTGAGGGCAAGGGACTGAGCACTCGTTTGGATAGGTGAGCAGGGATGGTCCGGCCTGACCTCCTAGGGAGCCTGAGGCTGCCTCACTACCTCATAATCGTCCTATCTGAGGGATAATTTAAGTGCAGTATAAACTGCACCCATTTAAAGTGTACAATTCAGTGAGTTTGACAGTTGCATAACCCAGCAGAAACCATTGCCACAATAAAGGCATTGTATTTCTGTAATTCTACAAGGTCACCTATGACTCTTTGCATTCCACCCCTACCAGGCTAATGCTTCCAAAGGAAAGCAGAAGAAAACTTTCTGTCCAGGCCTCTCCTAAGCAAGGAGAGAGATTCAGGTGTCTTTAAGGTAGGATGGCTGTAATAGGTGGATGGCTTTATTGTGTAAGCATAGGGACCTGAGTTTGGATTCCAGGAGTGTGTGTGTGTGTGTGTGTGTGTGTGTGTGTGTGTGTGTGTGTTTCTTTCTCTTTTTAAACCAACCCATCATGGTGGTCCACACTTGTGACCCCAGAGCTGGGGTGGCAGTGGTGGCAGAGCGGGGGCAGGGGGTGAGGAGGGGAGACAGATGGATTCCTAAAGCTCATTGGCCAGTCAATCTAGTGGAATTAATGATGCTCAGGTTCCCCGAGAGACTCTGTTTCAAAACCAAACAATAAAGGTGGAGGACCAGGAAGATGACTCAGCAATAACACTAGCCAACAACTGAGATGTACAAACTGGGTTCTAGCCCCAGATCTACACCGGAAGGAGAGGCCCAACCTCCTGCAAGTTGCCCTCTGACCTTCACATATGCACTGTGACACTTGCACACACACACCCCTTAAAATAAAATAAAAAGGATAAATGTAATAAAAAATAAACTATATGGAGATAACAATGAATCCTGAATCTCTGGATGAGTGTATGAACACACATACTAACATTCTCTGCCCCTTACCTTACTGACTGATGTGAGATTCACAGGAGCAAAGGGATGAGCAGAGCCTGGCCCAGAAATTCTTTGTTTTAGGTACCACAGGTGACTCAGGCTGCTCTGAACCCCTCTGGTCACCCTCTTTCTACAGCTCTTCCTTGGACTGTATCTATACCTCCATATTCCTTGGAACAAGATGAGGTAATAAATTCATTCACAAATGCTTTGCGTTCAGATGGTTTCCTCCAAGGTCGCTAATGTACTCATCTTTCCCCCTTCTCGCAAAGTATTAGATGTTCTTTACAAAAAGCTCCCCAAATACAAACAAATAACGAGAGAACCGCCTACCATCCCATCCACCTAGAGATGACTGCTGCCTGAGGAAATGCCGCCTACCTTCTAAGCATCATTTCATTTCTATGCGACTTAAGCATGCACATAAACCTGCTTTTCTTGTAGCAGATTTGTTTTCTGTTACTGGAATTGGAAGTTTCTCTCAAACGTGTGTGATTCTGGAAGCTTGGCTGCTTCAGTACTTTCAAATGAGATAAGAAAGCTTGAAGGGATGCCCTGTGGATTTGGGGTGGAGTTTCATGGGCCTGGGGAAGCTCGGTGCTTTTTGTTTTTCTCTTTTAAACCAGGTATGGTAGCCTGCACTTATGATGCCAGGGCCGGGAGGTGAGCTTCAGGCCACTAAGAGATCCTATCCCAAAAGAGGTGGATTCTATTGAAGGCATGGCTCCTTAGGAACACTGCCTGAGGAGTGACATTTTAGGTTGTCCTCTTGCTTGCATGTATAAACACATGTGTGTGGACCTGCACACGCATGTAAAAGAAGAAAAAGAGGAGGATGAGGAGAGAGGTGTAGCCGGTCTTTGCTACTTTGTGGGTTCTTGTTTTTCCCACCCTTTATTCCCCCCCCCCACACTAGTTTCATCCCTATGACTAGCCAGGAGAGAAAGAACAAGAGGAGAGGAGAAGAGAACACAGAGAGAGAGAGATCCTTGCATCTAATTCCTTTAATTTGTTTCTTCTTCGAACATGACTACTAACAAATCACAAGGAGCCTCCCTAAATGAACGACCACCACCACCTATTGGGACTAGCATTTATATCCCCCGTGAAAAGTTCCCAGAATTCCAAATGTCACACAATTGCAGAAAACAATCTGCCTTTTCAGACCGGGTTTGTCTGTGTAACAACAGCCTCGGCGGCTATCCTGCGCTCACTTTGTAGACCAGGCTGACTTTGAACTCACAGAGATCCGCCTGCCTCCAGCTCCAGAGTGCTGGGATCAAAGGCGTGTGCCACCACGTCCAGCTCATACCTGTAATTTCTACTGTTATGAATCATGATGTAAATATCTGATACATGACCCCTGTGTCAGATCACTTAAGGGTTCGCGGCCCACAGATTGAGACACCGCCGTCCTACCTTTGTGGCCTCTTTTGCTTGCCTTTCACACAGCGCCCCCATCTGTCCTCAGCCACCTCATGTTGAACACCATTTACACCAAACCTGTTCACTTCCTGAAAGGAACAGCAAACCCCACTGGTGCTGCCTGTCTCTGTCAAAACCACCGCCATGCTTCCACCTCAGGCAGGCTCTCAGACTGAACCCTTGCTGGGAAGAGCTCTGGATAGGTAGGTGTCTGAGTCTGGCTTTCACCTCTTTTAAGGCCTGTGATCTCAGGCCTCAGCCTCTCAGGGCCTGAGCTTCTTCAGGGTTAAATCGAGGATAATGATACCTCCTACTTGGCCACTCTCACCTGGTCCCTCCCACTTGTCCTCTGGCATCTCCTGGAAGCCTGCCAAGAGGCTCTGCTCTCTTTTTCTCTTTGGTACCTCAGGATATGGGTGCTGGCCCTCCCTCTCCTTCACAGCCATGCCTCATAGTCTCTTTGCTTGCTCCTTCTCTTGGTGTGAGAGCGCCCAGGCTCAGCTTTTCTCTATCTGTGCTCACCCTCCACCAGGGCTGTTCGTGCTCATCCCTCTAGCTTATTGCTGTTCTATCACCAATGCTATATCCAGCGCCTAACCAGAAACCGCCATTCTGCATACCCTGTAGACTGTGAGTGTCCCACCCTCCGACCTGACTGCTGGCACTGTTTCTCCTGCCGCAAGGCAGCCACTGGCCTTTTTCGCTGTTCATAAGCACGTGCGAGGCACATTCCTGCCTTGAGCTCCTTGCACATACCACCCTCTTTCCAGACTGCTCTTCCTTCACGCGCTTAAGTCTTTCCTTTTCAACGAGGCCCGCCGTGGCCTCCTTCATAATCCTGCCACCGGACTACAAACACTCCCAGTCCCTCCACCTTCTCTGCTGCACCTACCCCCTAACATGGTGTACCATTCATTCATTTATTACAACACCATTCAGTCCTTCTTGTTAACATATAATAGCCTTGAGGCAAATCATTTTTATCTAACTTATTATACCAAACACACAGTAAGTGCCCAGAAAAAGTAGTTTAAACAACTTAGATGAGGATCTCGGACGGATAACTCAGGGGTTAAGAGCACTTGCCGTTCTTGGAGAGGACCGGGGGTTCAGTTCCCAGCACCCATATGGGTGCAACCTTCTGCGACTCTGCTGCCCTTTCTTCTGACCTCTGAGGGTAAGCGGCACACACACACACACGGTACACATACATATATGCAGTCAGAACACTCTTACACATAAAAATAAAATAAAATAAATACATCTTTAACATTTTTTAAGGTAAATTATATTAAGTTTTTTTTTTTTTTTTTAAGAATTGAAGCCAGACACAGTAATGCACAACTGCAGTTCTAGCACTCAGAAGGCTAAGGCAGGAGGATTGCCAAGAGTTCAGGGCTAGCGTGGGTTATCTAGGAAGGTCAAGATCTGCCTAGACTATATAAAAAGACACTGTATCAGAAAGAGCAAGGAAGATATATATAAAATATATTTACATAGGTATTCGGATATTGAAGAAATGAGAGTGTTAACAAGGATGATAATATGATACAGTCCTCCTAAACCTTCAGTGGCTCCCTACTGCCTAAAAGACAAAGACAACCCCTCAGCTGGCCTTGAATGATCTACAGAACTTCCTAGGGACCTGGGTTCTCCGCCTGCGTGTCTAGGAAAGACCACTACACCTGCTTCCCTTTCCTTAGCGTGTCTTTTCCCTAATCCTCTCTGGGTCACTCTGCCCTCCAACACCCTGGTCGATGCTGTTCTTTCTTAAAATACAGTGTTCTCCCCTTTCACATGCAAGCAAAGCTGCAGTGCCCCCCCTTCCCGATTTATACAGCCCAGTGCACCCTGGCCGGCAGCTCCTGCCACATTCCCCTCCCCCTCCTACTCCCTTCACCCTCTTACAGCCATTTCTCCCCACCCTGAGCCCGCTCTGAGATTCCCACTTGGGAGCCTTGCTCTGTGCCTGTTGTCTCTGCTTTCACCTCTTCAAATCCCAGCATCCCCACTGAGTAGTACCGGGAAGGCTCAGGAGCTGCCTCTTCCCCGCTGAGCATCCTTTCTCATCCAGAATCAGCCCTTGTTGGGAGTTCCACTTCTTGTCTTGGAGGATGCTTTGGAGACAGTCCAGTGCTGCAGACACAGCAGCCTGGCAGCCTGCAGCCAGGACACACACCCGGAGGCATCTCCCTCAAGCCATGTGTATGTGTTCGTTTGTCGGGAGACTGGGGCTGTGGCACATACATTTGAAATCCCTACGTAGGAGGTAGCCTCTGCTCAACTGTCCTTTATAGTTCCCTTCCTCCCTCGCTCCCGTCTTTCTTGCCTTTCTTCCTTATTAGGAAACCAAACCCAGGGGCTTGTACATGTTAGGCAAATGCTCTATCGCCGAGCTATATAGTTCAAGATACAGGGGTTTTGAGCCAAGGTTTCACTATGTAGTCCAGGCTGGCCTCCAACTCATGATCCTCCTGGTCTCGGCCTCCCATGAGCAGGGGTCACACCCATGTACCACCAAGTCTGGCCCA